GGAAGGAAGGAAGGAAGGAAGGAAGGAAGGAAGGAAGGAAGGAAGGAAGGAAGGGTAAATGCCCAGCTCTCGGCTCACCAAAATAACTGATGAAGTTCAACTGGGGAAAGAGGGTGGAGTTGTGAATATTGTTTCATAAGTGAAAGAAATCAAGGTGTTATTATCAAGCACAGAACTCTCAGATTACCTGCAATCCATATGTAGTCATTTATTTTTTTCAAAGATTATCATTTCTACATATAGATTCAGAAATAAAATTGGAAGTCTATCCCATAAGTACCAAACAGAAATAATTCTGTCCCTGACAGAAGTAGCACTGCTGCAGAAAAAAATAAGACGCCCATAACAATGAGGTCAAGGATGTTCTAAGGGTGGCCTGGAGAAGGCACAGATCACACAGCAGCAAAACAAGTGTCGTTTCCAAAGAGCTGTCTGTCTAATCCCCTAGTGGGATTTTTCTTTAACTGACTTAAGAGTTTGATAACTGAGCCACACAAATAGAAAAGTTGAATTTTCTGAACGAGTATCAGGCTAATGACACTAAGTGTATGTGAGTGGCATGACGGACGTATAGGTGCAAGACAGAAGTAAAGATAACTAATCTACAGAGAGAACACCAAGGACCAAATCAGTCACCATGACAACCAAGTAGGTGGAGGGAAATACAAACACTGACCAGTCACCCTGGTGACACCAGTTCTTCAAGTAAAGACCCCTAACCCTGGGGTCGGGAAAAGATCTGATGAGTGTAAGGAGGTGGCCGAGAATGTGAGATGACTCAGTGGCATGGTCTTTGCAGGTGGGCTCTGCGGTGATACTGACAATACTCTTGGTTAGGCAGCTCACGGGGTCACAGGCTTACAGGTAAAAGACCCACTCAACCGAGAGGGGAGTCCTACCTGGTGCAAGGCTGTTAAGCCGTCCACGTTGACCGTGTTGATGTCCGCACCTCTTGCCAGAAGCTTTTTCACCTCGTCCGTGTCTCCGCTGGAGCAGGCAGCCAGAAAGACCGCACCGTCCTCGAAGCGGACCCTGGGGCTCCCGCGTTTCGTCTGCAGCTGCCGCCCTGCGCCCTGTCGCTCCACGGGCTCCTGTTCTGTCAGCGAGCCCCGCCAGCGCCGCAGCTGCTCAGCCCGCCGCGCTCGCGCCGACTCTGCCCGCTTCCCTCCCAGATGCTCCAGCTCCGCCATGGCTCGAGCCTCTGCAGCTGCTGCCAAAACTACCACCACCAGACTACTGGTAGCCTTGTGTGGCCGCCGCCGCCTCCCTCTGAGGGATTCAGCCGGGAAATGAAGGCGGAGGCCCCCGAACCACCATCTTTACTCCTCCCTCTACTAGCACCGCCCACACGCTCCTTTAACTTCACCACGCAGGCGCTGCCCAAGCCCGGAGTCATCACGGGACTTGTAGTAAGAGACCTGCCCTGAGGGCACGCTGTGGTCCTATGGGAACTACATATCCCTGAATGCATTAGAAACCAGTCAAGGACAAGTTGCACCCTCCGCTGCTGGATCTAGCACCTTTGCCCTGAAGCTGCTACTGCCTCACCACCAGAGGCAACCCTTTTCTCTAGTCTTTTTGGGAGTCGTAGTTTATCACTGTTGTGACCGCTAAGCTTAGATCCCTTGAGTAAAAAAGCTTTCTAGAAGACAGAACTAAACATAGAGTACCAGAAGGACTAGAATTCATGCCCTGGTTTTACATCTAGTTTTATTAACATGTATTAGTTGTGAATGTGCATGAGGAAAAGCATGCATACACATACAGTATTACAGTTTTTACATAAATTATTAATACGACTTTTATTCCAGGTCCAGAAAAATTCTTGACTAGTTGAAATTTTTCATCAAAAATGTGAAAATGACTAGATCATTTGTTTAAAAGCTTTATTATTTCCTAACATATGAACACTTGCCCATTCCTCTTTTTCTGTTGGGGGGGGGGGGGATAAACTTGAAATAAGCCAGTCTAGTCAGCCCACACCAATCCCAGCCCCCAGAAGGCTGACATATGATTGCCAGGAGTTCTAGAGCTGTCTGGACTATATAATGAGTTTAAAATCATCCTGATCTATAGTGAAACTTCATCTCAAATCCACTCCCCTCCAAAAACAAAACAAAAACAACAAGGGGGGGGGGACGAAAAAATGGAAGAGAGGGAGGGGAGTAACTTGTACTCTCAGCACTTGGGAGGTTCAGGGAGGAGTACAAGGAGTTCAAGGTCATCCTTAATGCATAGTCAGTTCCAGGCCAACCTGGACTATAAGACACTTTGTCTTAATAAAACAAAAACTTAAGTCAGGCAGTGATGGCACACACCTTCCAGCACTTGGGAGGCAGAGGCAGGCAGATATCTGTGAGTTCAAAGCCAGCCTGGTCTACAGAGTGAGTTCTAGGGCAGACAAGGATACACAGAGAAACCCTGTCTCAAAAAAAACAACAACAAAAAGGAACTCTGAATAAAAAGAGAATGTGTCACCATTCCTGGCTCCTACCTTATTTTGATATCAAATTCTCTTTTACTCTTTAGGCAGAGTTCTATTTGGGAACTTTGGGCCATTTTAATTATTGTGCCTATCATCTTGGAAGATCAAGAGTGTGAGGTCTTGCTATGGCCTAAGCTACAAAGGAGACTATCTCAAGCCAAGCATGCTAAGGAAATGCTCTTACCAACTGGGCTTACAGATGATTACAAACATGGATTTCCGTCATTCCAAGCTAAGTGCTGTGTAAGTGTTGCTTTTCCTCACAATCCACACAGAAAGCTATCAGAGGAATCTGTACAAGACTAGCATACAAAGAGATAAATCAGGAAAGATTACTTAACCATCAGCTAACTCTCTTTCCAGTCCTCCTGATCTTAATATGTTTGTAGTAAAAGTCAGCTCCTCAGCTTTACATCTTACCAACATAGTAGTTTCTAGTAAAACTTTAAAAGTAATATAGCTTTCTCAGAGACCAATAATGTTACAGCTATGGGACTATATTCTGTTTTGTTTTGTTTGAGATGAAGTCTCATTTACTCAGAATGATTAAAGAGGAGTGTGAAATCCTGATCCTCTGCCTCCACATTCCAGGTTTGGCTGTGTTCTTTTTTTCTCTCTCTCATTCCCTCACTCTTTCCCCCATCTTCCTCTCCCCCTCTCTCTCTCTCTCTGTGTCTTCTTTCTCTCATTTTTTATTATTGTTTTTTGAGGTTCTCTACAGTTCAGGTTGTCAAGAACCCAGGCTAGTTTCATTCAAACCCCTGGGTTTTTTTCCTGCTTCAGCCTCCCAAATACCAGGAATGAGCCACCTTGTTTTTGTTTTGTTTTGTTTTTTAATAAGCTTAAATTTCAACAAGAATTCAGTCTTGGTGCTGGGGATGTACTTTAGTTCAGAGAATGATTGCCTAGCATGCACAAGGTCCTGTACTGCATGAACCAAGCGTGATCATAAACATTTGTTTGTAATTCTAGCACTCTGGAAGTTCTTTTACCTAAGGTAAAAGAAACTGTCTCAGAAAAATTCAGTACCAAGAGTGGGAGGTTGCAGAAAACAGGAAGAATACTATTTTCTTACTATAACTGTTGTATTTGGTCTTTTTCTTTTTTCTTGTGAAGGAAGTATGACACTTTCTTTGGAGAATTTTACAGAAAGCATAAAAGGCTTAATTCTTTAAATAATTTAAGTGCATACCTACCTAATTAGAGAGAAGTATATCTTCCAGCTGTGATAACTAAAATAATAATCATTAGTATCTTAATTAGCTTAAATACATCAGTCAAAAATTATACCACAAAAACATCTGTCTTTCTATGACTTGAAAAGTTTTTGTTTTTTGGTTTTTTTTTTAATTAAAGCTATGTATGTTTTCCCCAAAACATCTTCACCTTACCAAAACTCTCAAAGAATAAATTTATAGGGTCATCTCATTAAAAAAGTTTGATACTTTAAGTTTCTTAAATGCTCTAAAAAATATTTTAAAGATGTATGTATTTATTTGTTCATACCTGCATGAGTGTCTGAACACATGTGTGTGCAAGTATACACCAAGGCCAGAAGAGAGCATCAGTTCCTGGACCTGGAGTTACTGGTATTTGCTGGCCCCAACTTGATGAACAGGTGCTGGGATCTAAACTCAATTCCTCAAGACTGCACAGCGCTCTCCACAGCTGAGACACACTTTCCACAGCTAAGACACGCTCTCCAGCTCTCTAAGAAAACATTTTTAACTTCAAGTTAAATCCAAGCAAACAATCCTGTACAAATAAAGTATAATTTTTATATTTTCAAAATGACTGATCTGGGGAGAAGGCTCAATGTGTAAGAGTACTTGCTTTGCAAATATGAGGACCTGAGTTCAAGTCCCCAGCTCTGACATAAAAAGCCAGGCACAGCTGATTGTACCTACAACCCCAGCACTGGGAAACACATGGTGAATCTCTCAAGAGCTGGCAGGCTAGCTGTGCTTCTAAGTCTGTGAGAGACCCTGTCTCCAGGCAATAAAGTATAGAGAAATAGGGGAAGATACCCAACATCCTGGACTCCACAGGAGCAACATGGGCACACATACTTACCTACATGCTTCAATGTACCACATATACACACCACACACATACAACACACCACGCTCATTCACTAAATAAATAAATATAACTGGTCCAACACAGATGACTTTGTAGAAAATAAATTTTTATCAAGTAATAATTTCCCACATTCACACTTTAATTGTAACATTAGATCAATCTACTTTCAAAACTAATGGCAAGCTGGCCATAATGTCACATGTTTATAATCTTAATACTTAGAAAATAGAGGCAAGAGGATCCGGAGTTCAAGTCTAGCTTCAGCTACATAATAAATTTGAGGACAGCTTGAGCTATATGGGACCCTGCCTCAAATAAACAAAACAAAATAAAATAAAATAAATAGTGATTAATACCTAGGCAGGAGGATTGTTGTGACTTTGAAGCCAGCCTGAGATTCACAATTAAACACTTGCCTCAAAAATCCTAACTTAGGGCGAGGTGTAGTAGAACACGCCTTTGAACCTGGAACTTGGTAGGCAAAGGCAGGTAGACCTCTGAGTTGGAGGCCAGCCTGGTCTAAATAGCCCCAGGATGCATAGTGACAGCCTGTCTCAAAAAAAAAAAAAATCTAACTTAGTTGATTAAAATGTAAAAAATAACATTTAGAGCAATCTTTAGGGCCTCTTTTTCCACCATTTAACATACCTCCCTCTGGTGGACAAATGGAAACTGTACACCTAAAATGGGACCTTTTCCCTTCTTTCCTGTGTCCAAACTATAATTGATCTTTCCCACCAAACTCAATACAATTTGTGATTTTTCTCAGAGACATCTTAAATTCTATTTTTCAGAGACCCATCCAAGGAAGGTTCCATTTAAGTTCTGAAGACAGAACTAATTGACATACAGCCACTGTTGGAACAGGAAAAATAAGAAAAGATACTGAAAGCATTAGCTATCATTAGCTATTAGCAAATGACAGTAGTGAGATAAGCAGGAACTCCAAAATGGTAACAGAAAACACTTACTGCGACGAGTAAGTCCTAACGGGATTTACCTACAGGGAAAAGGGCGGTGCTCTTCCCTAGCTCCCGCACGGTGCGAAGGATCTCTTTCGCATTACCCTTAACTTGCTCAGCTTCCAAACGAACACTTTTAGTGGAAAGTGAAATCTACTCTATCCGCTATGAGTCCTGATGGAACACTTTGTCCACCAGAATTATAAGTTTAAAAATATTTTTTTTCAGCTGGAGGAAATCTACGTAGCCTAAGCTGGTCTCAAATTCTCGATCCTTCTACCTCAACATGCCAGGTCTTAGATGAAGTTGTAAGGTATCCTCTGACATTACTTAAAGCTCGGGCGACGCGGCGCCTAGTGCTAATTCACTTGGGAGGATAACGCAGGAGTCCCCTGAGGGTCTAGCCTGAGCTACATAGCCAAGTTCCAAACTGAGCCGGGCAGCGTCGAAAGACCCGTCTCAAAGAACAAAGACATAAAGGCAGCTATTCAGCAGTCACTTCCCCAGATGAAGTACTTCCAGTTGCTTTCGTTCTCTCCTGCGCGACTTCCAACCACGCTGACAGCGGGAACTGGGGATTCCGGTCCGGCTGCGCGCGCCAATTTGAGCCTTGCGTGAGCGGACGCACGCTCGGAGCGCTGGCCAATAGGCGGGCACGCGCCTCTTCCGGGATCGCTGTGGACCAATCGCAGCCCTTTCTTGGATGGGGGCGGAGTCACTTCAACGGTCTCGAGGGCTCAGCGAGTACGCCACAGACGCTCGTGGCGGCCAGCAGACCTGCTCAATGGTGTTGCCGGGGCCAGCGGAGGGAACGTACCCCGAGTCACAGTGAGTGTGGGGAAGGAGTCCCGCTTCTACCCGAGCTGCCCCGGGAGGAGCACGGCGGGAAGAGAGGACCGCAGGTGCGCGCCAAGGCTGAGCCTCGGCCCGGCCTCCAGCACCTCCCATCTACCCGAGTTCAGTGCGTTGACTATTTAACTTACCACGGGGCCTGGGGCCACAAAACAAAACACCAGCGCTCTGGAATCTGAGGTGAATCAACAGTAACATACGGGCTGCAGATTTGTGAAGACGCACAGAGGGTGGGAAGACTGGGGTGCGCTCCCGCAGACCTGGAAGGAATTATCCTTTGATGTGGCCGCACACTTAGGTGTGAAAGAATTTTAAGAATAGTGCAGTGGAAGCGTTCATTTGTAGGGAGTAATTACTGGAAAAGAGACTAAAAACACCGGTTTAAAAGAAATTAAAAGAAAAACACCTAGTGGAGCTATGTTGTAAGGATCTTTGGTTTGAGGGTTTGTTTTGTTGTTTTTGAGACAGGTGTCCCTGTAGTCCAGGCTAATCTGGAACTGACTTCTGCCTAGGCGCCTCCCGTGTCTACACCACCAAGCCCCGGCTCTGTAAAAAAAAAAAAAAAAACCTTTATATTCAGAAAATACACAATAAGAGATGACTTTTATACCAAAGGACTTTTAAGTTTTTATTTACTTTTATTTCATGTGTATGAGTGTTTGTCTGCATGTGTGTATGTGCACCACGTGTGTGCCTGGTGCCCACAATTCGACATCCAGAGGAGGATGTCGAATCCCCCAGAACTGGAGTTACAGTTATGATCTGTCAGGTGGTGTTTGGAATTGAATCTGGGTCCTCTGGAAGAGCAGCTAAACCTTCACTCCAACACCCCGAAGACTTTGTATATACCAATGTGTTACCACCTGGTTGCTTCTTTGAGATAAATTGCCTTTTTTTTTTCTTATTCTAATCTGATTCCACTGTGTTCTTATTTTATATACAGATACAGTTTATAAACCTGTCATCCCAGCACTCAAGGAGGCAGAGGCAGGCTGATCTCTGTGTAGATAGAGAGTCCAAGACAGCCAAGGCTACCCAGGAAAACCCTGTCTACAAACAAAGAAGAAGATGCAGTTTATAATTGTAGATAGTTTTATTATAATTGATTGTCAAAAGACAACTTTGAGGAGACTGTTCTTCTACTGTTAACTACTGGGATTGAATCAAATTGTCAGGCCTATTTAGCAAGTGCTTTAATCCGCTGAGCTGTTTTTTCCAGTCCCTCGTATTTGGAAGGTTTGGCTTGGTTTTGTTTTGTTCTACTGAAAGTAGTTCTTCAGATTTTGTGTATAAAATAGCAATGTTTCATCTGAATGAGTTATGGAGAGAAAGCCAGTAAGCAACACTTCTTTATGGTCTCTGCATCAACTCCTGCCTCCAGTTTTCTGTCTTATTTGAGTCCCTGTCCTGGCTTCCGTCAACAATATATTGTAATGTGGAAGTGTAAGCCAAATGCCCTGCTCCCTGCAAAATAGCAAGGCTTCATTAAAGAAAATGATAGAGGCTGAGCACACACCTTTAATCCCAGAAGAGACAAGCCAATCTCTTGAGTTTGAGGCCAGCCTGGTCTACAAAGCAAGTTCCAGGATGGCTAGTGCTACAAAGAGAAACCCTTAAAAAAAAAAAAAAAAAAAAAAACTAAGTAAATAAATAAAACAAAAAAAATAAACCAAAGAGAGAGAGAAATTGATAGAATTAAGATACAAAATTGTAGCCAGGCATAGCAGAGGCAGGTGGATTGATGTGAGTATGAGGGCAGCCTGGCCCACAGAGCGAGTCCAGGACAGCCAAGGCTACACAGAGAAACCCTGTCTCGAAAAACCAAATAATAATAATAAATACACAATAGTGTAAATGTGAGTAATTAATAATTAAGTTAGTCTGAAGCTTTTCTGTTGTATGGAAGAGGAGTCAAAGGACCAGTTGATTTTATATTTGTTTTGTGTACATAAATGTTTTATATACATGCATTTATTTGTACTGCATGCATATTTGTTGGGTCCCCTGGAACTGAGGTCATGGATAGTTATGAGACACTATATGGGTGCTGGGAATCAAACTCAGGACCTCTGTGAAAACAATAAATGTTCTTAATCACTGGGCTACTCTTTTCCAGCACCCCCCCCCCTTTTTTTTTAAATTTTGTTCCATTTGAGACAGAATCTTGTTTATATCCCCGGCTACTCTGGAACTTGTCTTGTAGACAAGACTGGTATAGAATTTTCAGCAAACCTCCTGCCTCTGCCTCCAAGATCTGTGTCACCATAACTGGCCAAACTATTTTTTTTTTTTAAGTTGCTGAGGAGATAATTTGTTTTGTATTAAATTTATTTTTGTATATACGAATGATGCATATTTTTATTTTATTCTTATGTTGTGTGTGTCATAGCACATGTGGGAAGGTCAGAGGACAACCTAAGGGTTATTTCTTCTCTCCCTGAACCAAGTGCTAGGTTTATCCTCATGTACCACCACACCCCACTTTTTATGTGGGTTCTGGATTAAACTAAGGTTCTTAAAATACATATCAAGCATTATAACAACTGAACTGTCTCCCTTTTTAAGTACACATAGGACGTTCTGAGCAAGACCCAACAATTTTAAAGGATATAAATGACATGTTAGAAACCAATAACAAGACTGGATGTGAAGGCATATGCTTGTGAATTCCAGTGTATTAGGGGCTGAGGCAGAAGAATATGTAACCAACATGGGTGGACAGCCTTCATATATCAAGGTTGGATAAATGTTATATCAAACCTTTGGAGGGTGAAATATAAATTGGAAAGTAATATATAGCCTTATATGTTTGCACTTTAAAAGGAAAAATTGAAAACTGATAGAGCTCAGTTGGTAGAGTACTTGCCAAACATCCATGAATCTTTGCTCCAGTCTCCACTGCCATGTAAACTGGACGTGGTGGTGTACACCTGTAATCCCAGTAGTTGGAAGTAGCGGGACAGGAAGTCATCCTCAACTACGTAGCAAAATTTAAACAGCCTGGGATACATGAGACTCTGTCTCAAAACAAATGAGAGGAAGAAGGGAGGAGAGAAGAGAGGGAGAGAGAGTTGCCTGCAAAGGAGGAAAATAAAGCATGACCCTAACCCTATTCTGGAAAGAAAAAACTAAGAAAGTACAAAGATATCAGTGATAAAGATAGGAACAGAAATAAATTTTCAACAGAGAAGTATTTAATGTTATTTGTAAAGATTAATAAAATTGATACACACCTGGAAGAATAAGGAAAACCAAAAAAGATGGTCTAGAGAAATTATGTTAGAAATAAAAATGGAAGCATAGCCACAGATTGTACAGAGGGTCTTGCCATATAGCCCAGGTTGGCCTCAGATTCACAGCAATTGGAGCTCCTAATCTCAGCCTCCAAGGTGCTAGGATATAGCTGAGTGACACTGTGACACCTGGGTTTGGATAAAAGGATATATAGTTTTTCTATAAGTAAGTTTTAAATGAGCAGATAAATTTGTAGGTCCTCGCAATGTAGCTCTAGATGACCTGGTACTTCTTGTGTAGACTGGGCTGCCTCAAACTCAGAAATCAATGTGCCTTTGCCTCCTGAGTACCAAGTTTAAAGGTGTGTACCCCCAATCTTTGTAGAAATTTTTAATTTATCAAAATTGGCTGAAGAGAATTGAAAACTTGAGTAACAGCTTCCATATCTAATGGGTTTAAGCTAAAATTAAATACAACTTTAGTAGTGCAGGGTCTTCCTCCTCCTAGACAAGTGTTCCACCACTCAGTTATACTCCTAGCCCCGGAACTGAAAACAATTTAAGTAAAAAATGAAAAAGAAGTAAGCGGTAGTAACTGAAAGAGTGGGGTTTTGAGTCAGAACATTCCAGATGATGAATGGAACAAATTTAGAAGACTCAAAACAGATCTACACATGTTTGGAAATGTAATTTATGGTTATATTAGAAGGGTGGAGTTTCCTTTTTTTCTTTTTTTTAAAATAGTGGTAGAACAATTGGTTATTCATTTGGGGGAGAATTAAAATTGGACCTTCTACCTCTTAGTATGCACAAAAGTAATTACTGGTAGCTGGAAGATTTAAATATAAAGAGCAAATTTATATTTTTAGTTGTTTTTATTTTATGTGTTTGGTTGCTTTGTCCACATGTATGTCTGTGTACCGTATGCATGCCTGGTGTCTGAGGTGTTACAGATGATTGTGAGCTGCTACATGGATGCTACAAGTCAAACCCAGGCCCTCTGGCAGAGCAACAAGTGGTTATAACCTCTGAACCATCTCTCCAACCCAAAAGTTTTTTTTTTTTTTTTTAACTTAAAGAATATGTAGGAAAATATCTTTAAATGTGAGAGTATGGAAAGGATTTTTACTAGATTAAGAATATGTTCATTAGCTAGACTTGGTGACCCAGGCTTTTAATCCCAATTACTTTGTAGACTGAGGGAGGAAAGTCACAAGTTGAAGGGCAACTAAGGGAGACATATCTCAAAAATAAAAAAATAAAAAAAACAGGCCGAGGTAAGGCTTAGCTCTTGGTCCAGCAATGCAAGAGAGAGAGAGAAAAAAAAGATATGTTCATCTAGCTTGTGGCAAAATAAGCTGTAACTTGTGATATTATATTTTTAATGTACATCAAAATAATAGCATCCTTTAGGTGGTTACTAGTTGAGTGGATGTGTTTGTGGGGGTTATTTAGGTGACAGACTTTATGTATATTTGGGTGTTGATGACTGAGACAGAAAGATTAGGAATACTATAGTGGGATGGGCTAATTGATAGGATGAGTTCCCTGAAAAATCAGGAAAATATAGAGTCCATAATGCACAGAAAGAATGTCAGACACTTAAACACTAGCTTACAAGTGCCTCCAAATGTTGGCTGCTTTGTTCTTGCTCTCAGAGTGTGTAGACTGCACACAGCTATTGTCTACCCAGTCCCTTGCTGTCTGGGCATGCTTAGGATTCATTTGTGAGCAGAATTGGACTCGGGCTCTGTCCTCGTGACTATAATTTATTAATGGAAGCAGACACTCAGTTTAAACTTTTTAAATTGTTATTACTATTATTTGTATGAGTAGACCAAAAGTTCATGCAGCAGTGGGGAAAAGTCAGGCTCCCTTTGTCCCAAGAGAGTAATAAGAATCTGTTCTTCATTAAATTGAAGCTGTGCTGAAAATGCTAGTCCTTGTGGCTATTTCATGGTTGTTTCTTTTCTTTTCCAGCACACCCCCGGCCAGCCCTTAGTGCGGAGCAGTGAACTGTTGATAGTTCCTTTTTCTTGACATCATGCAGAGAGCCTCACGCCTGAAGAAAGAACTGCACATGTTGGCCATAGAACCTCCCCCAGGCATCACATGCTGGCAGGAAAAGGACCGAGTGGATGATTTGCGAGCTCGTAGGTATCTCGTCATGCCTGTGGTGATGATTGTAGCCATATTGAAAATTATCCTAAATTTCACACATTGGTGTATTCAAAAGTACGGCATAGTAGGAGCCCTGCCATCTTTCTTCCTTAGTTGGTTTGCCACCAAGCCTAACAACCCAGGTTTAATCCCCAGGATCCCTGTGGTGGAAGGGAAAACCAGCTCCTATAACTAGTCCTCTGACTTCTACATCCATGCCATAGCATGTGTGTACACACTCACAAGCACGTACACTATTGTAATTTTTAAAAAAAGTTAAAACAGGTTAAGTTATTAGTTGTGTGACACTGTTTCAGGGCAGGTAGGCGGACAGGAGACACTGGTAGAGATTCGGTCAAAGCCCTAATTCAGTTACTAAAATTACTGTTCTACACGCAGTTCCTTTGTTTTATTTTATTTTATTTTGTGTGTGCATGCGTGCGTATGTGTGTTTACATGCACACATATGCACATACCTGGAGCCAGAAGAGGGCATCAGATTCTCTTGAGTTGGAGTTACAGGCATTAGTTGTAAGCTACCTGATATGGGTGTCAAGATTGGAACTCTGGTCCTTTGGAAGAACATCAAGCACTGCTGAGCCATCTCTCCAGCCCCCATACCTAGAATTGTAGACCTTATTAAGTTCATTTGATACAGTTTCTATTGTTTGTTTGCCTTTTGAGAAAGGGTCTCATGTAGCCTAGGTTGGCCTCAAACTTGCCTTGTAACCAAGAATGACCTTGACTTTGATTCTCCTGTCTCCACCTCTTGAGTACTAGGATTTCAAACTATAACATGATGTGTGATTCATATACTGTTTCTTGTTGAACTCGGGGCTTTATATATGCTAGGCAAGCTCTCTGCTGACTGAGTTACATCCTTTTGTATGGTAATTCAAATCATCTAGTTCCCTTTTCTTTTTTTTTCTTTTCTTTTTCTTTTTTTTTTTTTTTTTTTTCCTCAAGAAATACTAGGTGGAGTCAACACACCTTATGAGAAAGGTGTTTTCACACTGGAAGTTATCATTCCTGAGAGGTGAGTGCAAATTAGAGTCAGCTTATAAAGTAAAGCATGGCCCTTGGAAGACAAACAATATAGCATTTAGAGAATTAACTGTAGCAGTTAAGAACCTATGTTTAATCCTAGCCTTAACTAGGAATGTGGTAAGTTATTTTGTCTCATCAGAACTGAGCCCCAACTCTCCAAAAAAGATTTTATGTTATATTTTATATAACATAAAATGAACGCTTGTAGCCTTTTTAGGTGTTCATTTCACATTGGGTTTTTTTAATTTGTTTTTGTTTTGTTTTCTTTTTACACTTTTTTAGACTCATGGTTTCTTTGTGTAGCCCTAGCCATCCTAGAACTTGCTCTGTAGACCAGGCTGGTCTAACCCAGAGATCTGCCTGCTTCTGCCTTCCAAGTGCTGGGATAAAGGCATGCACTACCACTGCCCAGTGTGTTGTGCAACTATTAATATTATTTCCAGAACTGTCCATCTTCCCAAACTGTAACTTCATAACCATTAAAAATCCATCCCTACCCCCAGTTATTCCCTGGCACCAACTCTTGGCAATCACCATTTGTGTTAAGGGTCCTTTGTTCAAGACTCCTTTGAGGCTCTAGTCAGGAAAGTTGAGGCTGTAGTTTTGTGGAGAATGAAGAAGGGATGAAATGAGTATCTTACCTATTAAAAATGGATTTCTATCTACCACATTGGGTCCTGGACAAACTTTTTTAAGGCCTGAATGAATAGCTTAATATTTGTGTCACACATCACTGCTGAAATAGATTGGGAACTTTGCAAGGCTTCTTTGTCACTAAAAAGATACAGTAACTAAATGCAGTGCAAGTCTAATTGGAGCCTGGATGAGAAACACAGTTGTAAAAATATTTAGAGACAGGGCCTGGACAGATGGCATAATGGCTACTCTTTACAGAGGATCTGGGTTCAGTTCCTAGCATCCACATTGGCAGCTCACAACTTCCTTTAATCCCAGTTCAGGAGATCTATACCCTTTTCTGGCCTCTGAGCACCAGGCATGTTCATGGTACATAGGCACAGGTGCAGTTAAAATACACACATATAAATAAATAAATAAATAAATAAATAAATAAATAAATAAATAAATAGATCTTTTTTTTTTTTTAAGAATTGGCGACAAGGAGGTTTGAATAGTAAATAGTAACTGAAGTAAATAAAGTAACTGAAGTAAATAAAACTTCACAGATATAATGGTATCACAGTAGGACAGTATCCTTACTCTTAGGAGATACTGGTAGTGTTTAGAAGGTGGTGAGAATCTGAGTGTTTTCAGTACCATTATTTCAACTTTTTTGATTGCTGGTAATTTTGATTGGTGGCAAGTTTAGGAAAGATTTGCCTTCAAAACGCTGTCTTTCTGATATTTTTCTAGTTCCATCATTATTTATGTAGCTACTAGTGACCAAAAAACTATTTATAGCACCACCCCTATGAGTATATGGGTACCATAGATTGGACTTGGTGGGTTATATTTGAAAAAAAAAAAAAAACAAAACAAAACAAAAACATAAGGCCCAGTATGGTGGTGCATACCTTTATCATGAAGCAAAACCAAAATAATTTTCTGTTCTTACACATTCACAGGTACCCATTTGAACCACCACAGATCCGATTTCTGACTCCAATCTATCATCCAAACATTGATTCTAGTGGAAGGATTTGTCTAGATATTCTCAAATTGCCACCAAAAGTGAGTAGAGGTTAAAGAGTTGACTCTGATATCACTCTTCTTGGGACTTGAAAGGGGAAGCAGGAGGATCAGGAATTAAAGGTCATCCCCAATGACATAGCAAGTTCAAGACCAGCATGGATTACGTGAAACCCTGTCCAAAAAGACAAATCAAAAGTCCTTGGGTTATATACAGTGTCATATTCTTTTTTTATTTTTTTGAGACTGTGTCACATAGCCAAGGGTGACCTTAAATTCCTGGTCCTCTTGCCTCTGTCTCATAAGTGCTGACATTACAGGCATGAGTCACTGTGCCTGGCTCAACAATGTCACATTCTAACACAAAAACAATTGTTCCTTTGTACATAGGGTGCGTGGAGACCATCCCTCAACATCTCCACTGTATTGACCTCAATTCAGCTGCTCATGGCAGAGCCCAATCCTGATGACCCACTAATGGCTGACATTGTACGTATCCCCATTTCTTCAGTAGCAATAGCCTACTTTATTTGTACCTTTAATACTTCAGCAGCCAGAGATTATCACAGCACATCACTGTTTCTCTTATTTTAACCCTGATTTTATTTTAGTCCTCAGAATTTAAGTATAACAAGATAGCTTTTCTCAAGAATGCCAAGCAGTGGACAGAGACTCATGCAAGACAGAAACAAAAGGTATGATACTTGCAAATATTATCAGTTTGAGTATTGTATCTATGGGGAGGGAAGGGACTAATGAGCCCCCACCCTAACTGAGGAGCTAACAAAGTTGATAACAGTTATTAGCTCTGGGGGTGGGCAGTCAGTTTCCTTTAAGGCCTCTCAGGTCAGCCATGCTCTGGTGGACATCTGCACAACCATGTATATATGGGCAGTACAAATTGGACTTGGGGGGGGGTGTAAATTTAAGGCCCAGTACACACCTTTAATCATCGCACTCAGAAGGCAGGGGCAGGCAGATCTCTTGAGTTTGAGGCCAGCCTGATGTACACAGTAGTTGTAGGCCAATCAAAAAAATAAAAAGAGGATGTAATATGAGATGTTGGAAAAAGATAGGGGATGGATCTGGGAGGAGGTAGTGGAAGAAGTAGGCAATGAATATCATCAAAATATATTGTATGATGTTCTCAAAGAATTAATAAAACATGATATATATATGTATATATACATATTATAATGTATGTCCAGGAGCTGGAGAGACAGCTTAGTGTTTAAGAGGGCATGCTTCTCTTTTGAGGACTCTTTATTCAGTACCCAGCATCCCTAACAGGAGGCTCACAACTAGAACTGCGGCTTTTAGGGATCTAACACCCTCTTCTGGACTCCACAGGCACCTGCACTCGTGTGCACAAACCCACACACAGATATAAAATTAAAGATAAAATACATCTTTTTAAGAAAAGAATACAGATTTATATCCCAGATTAAGCAATTATAAATAAAAAAATAGAGTATATGTCTAAATATTTATTAAATTTGCTAAATTCATACTGTACTCTAGAATAGCTAGTTAGGTTCTTTATCCTGTTGTAACCATCTAAAAATTATTCAGCAAAATGCTCAGATGCGCAAATAACCATTGGTCTCTTTTCTAATAATTGTCATCTATTGACAACACTAGAGGGCAGGCAGCATCTGCTTGATACTTTTGTGTTCTTGTGAGTAGCAGGGATAGAGGGAAAGTGACTCATTTATTTTTTTCATATTTGTCCTTTTTAATATTGAGCCATGGACTAGTTACAAAACTAATGAGACGGTGGGCTTAGAAAGTTTTGTTTATTATAGGACCATTTATGGAAAGAGGGTGTTTAAGTTGATAGAATGGTCTGTTTTGTTTTGTTTTGTTTTTGAGACAGGGTTTTTTATGTAGCCCTAGCTGGCTTGAACTTTCAATGTAGTCCAAGCTAGCCTAAACTTAGTAGTCCTCTTACCTTAGCTTCTTGATTGTTATAAGCATTCATAATTATGGCTAGCTTTTTGAGTTGGTAAAGTTTGAAATAGAAAAAAAAGGTATGCAAAAAAAATGAAAAAGATGCTTTTGAAGGAAATAAATGCACTCTAAAATCTTAAAAAACAAAGAATATCTGGAAATAGTATTACAGAGCTTCAGGATTTTCTGTTATCATTGTGGGCATGTTGTGTTTTGTTCCCTCTTCCCCGTGCAGGCTGATGAAGAGGAGCTAGGCACCTCATTAGAGGTTGGTGACTTTGCGGAAAGCAACTCCACACAGAAAAGAAAGGCCAGGCCACTAGGAGGCATGGAAAAGAAGTTTCATCCTGATGTCCAGAGAGTTTGTCCTGGTCCTTCGTAGTTAATGCAGTCTGTGACAAGCTCCTGCTTGCTTTTTTCAATGTTTTCCTTTGTGTTTGATGACATAATGTTTGTATCTTTATAAAAGACCTTGTATGTTTACGAATTCTGCCATGCAGTGATTCTTTAAGGATAGTTTGTTTTATTTATCTTGTACATATGTATCTTTTAAACTTGAAAAATAAATAATACTTAATGTTAAGTGTGTGTTTACACTAAATGTGCATCTGGGAGTGAACTGATTATAGTGCTATGTGATCAGAATGTTAAAATATTTTCTCAGCTTACCATCACTAGAGACACAATGTTTGAGTAGATGAAAATAGCTGTTAAAAATCATTACCCCTAGGCTTTGGGGAGTATAGCTTTTGAGAAGTCTTAAAACTGGAATAAGGCAGTGTACCCTTTTGTCAAGGCTTAATTGTTTTCAGCTTTCACTTTGTAAGTTATATAGCTGCTCAAAATTACTGTAACTTTCATTGTTGTGTTTTGTTGTACGTTGAGACAGAATCTTGCCACGTGAGCAGGGCTAACCTTGGATGCACAAGGGAGTGTCTGCCTCTCTAGGACTGGGGTTATGAGCATATATCACCATGCCTGGCCTATGACAAATATCCTGAACAATTAGTTGCCAGACTTGAATCCCCTCTTGTGCTTTCATAATATACTTGTCTTATGGTGGATATGGTTGTTAACTGGCCAGCGTTTTATCCTCCAGTCCTGTTATCCTGCTAAATGACAGAGATAACACACTGGAGTGTAAATAGAAGTCTTCCATCCATCTCTTCTTTAGTTAATTTAAAGGACTTGGGCCTGAGAAGAGAAGTGGCATCTTTAAAGATTAGAAAAGTCTAAATTCCTTCTCAGGGAAGGGAAATGTCTGGGAAAAAAAAAAAAAAAAAAATGGATGAATTCAAGACCTAGTTATCACTTGGGATGTGGAGACAGGAAGATCAGGAATTCAAAACCATCCTTGGCAATATGCAGAGTTTGGGGCCAGCTCACATTACACGACCTTGTTTTTGTTTTTTAGAGTTTGAAGCCAGCTCATGCTGCATGACCTTGTTTTTGTTTTTTAATTGAAATTAAAAAAAAAAAGGACAAAACAAAGACAGTCCCAGCTCCAGTGGGTACTGTTTACCAATTGTATACTCTTAATATGAGATCTTCCTTTTTGGTTTTTCACCTCTGTAAAATGGCCACCTTGTGGTACTTAATTCAGAGTGTTGTGAGCATGGGCTGAAATGCTGCTTGTAAAGCATCTAGAATGTTGACATTTGTAGAGTACTGGCAGGAGCATGGAGACCACGATCCAACCATAGGTGAGCCCTGGGGAGCTGCCATGTCCTCAGCCCACTTGCCAGTCTGCTTTGTTCCTGGGACAACCAAACTGAGCAGTGTTTTAAACTCCAAACCCCTAATTAAAGAGGAGAGATGACATCCATGACTGATCATATAAACATTGCAGATTCCAAGTTCCCCTCTTCTGTGCCTCCCCGCCTGCTCCTCTCTTCTCCGCCCCCCACCAACCCAGTTCCCCTCTTTACCTCTCCCCAAAAGCTATCTAAATAAGAACAGATTGTACCACCCACCTTGTGGGCAGGCAGCTCAGGCTAAGACTAGCTATTTCTCCTTCAGCTGCTTCAGGAATTAAACACATACAAATAAAGTTCCTTTTTCCAGCCAAGTGTATGTTTTTCCATCAGCGTGTGCTGCCTGTCCTCCCCAGGTTGTCTTGTTTAGGTTGGGGTAGCCTAAAGGAGGGAAGGACCAGGTGGGGGTGTGGTCTTAGAACCTGCTCCCCCAGGAGAGGCAGAGCATTGGATGCAGAAACAACACATTCCACTTTGTAACTTGGCAAGTGTCATTCCTGCCTCCGGCCATGTCCCTCTGGGAAGTGGCCATCCCTCTAACAAGTTTATATCAGAGATGACAGTCTATCTAGTGTCTTTCATCCCTTCCACCCGACTCTAGGGCTTTACCTTTTAAGTCCTTGTTTTTGTTGCTCATATTTCTCTGACACCACATCCCACCAGACTGTCCCTTCCCCATTGTTGCCTGCCTTCCTTACCCAAGACCCTGAAATTATTTAATTTGCACAAGGAGCTCCTCTCCAACTTCCCTCAGACTTCCACCAAAAACCCGTAGAGGTTGAGTTTTTCATCTCCAGATTTCTATTAGACTGACAGTCACTGTCAGGTACTAGCTCTTTACATTAACTATCTTTGATCTTTCCAATAACCTGCAGCATTTCAGTGCTATCATTCTCATTTTGCTGATAATGCAACTGAAAGAGGTTAAGTAAAACCTAAGGACAGTGGATTCTCCCTGCACTTTGTCGTGACCCTGATATTCAGGAGTTGTGCAGTTCTGACACTAACTGCAAACTCCAAACAGGGCAGTGCCCAGCGGTTCTCTGACCTCATCTGCTCTTTCCATTCTCCCCTGATCCCTGCTTCCACATCCTCTTGCCTTAAATTACTCCCTAGGGTTTCCCACCTAGCCCCATGTGCATATGATAGCTGTCCTGGCTAGTTTTATGTCAACTTGACAAAAGCTATGGTCATCAGAGATGAGGGAGCCTCAATTGAGAAAATGCTTCCATAAGAGCAGGCTGCAGGCAAGGCTGCTGAGCATCTTCTTAATTAGTAATTGATGTGGGAGGGTTCAGCTCATCATTGCACATGGTGCCACCCTAGGCTGGTGGTCATAGATTCTATAAGAAAGCAGGCTGAGCAAGCCAGTAAGCCGCACTGCCTCCAGTGCTCTGTTTTGAGTTCCTATCCTGACTTCAACAATGGACTACAATGTTGAAGTTTAAGACAAATCAACTTACTCTCCATCTTACTTTTGGTCATGGTGTTTCATCATAGCAATAGCAACCCTAACTAAAACAGCCTATCCTGACCATGCTGACAATCTTCCTTGACCACCAAAACTAATGGATGCCCTCTACTACCCTAAGGTTGCTAAGAGGACGAATGAGTCCACTTCTGCTGGGCTTGGATAGGAGGTGATAGGTGGGAATTGTTAGAGGAGACTTTTTCTGGCTTCTTTCCATGCAAGTACCACAAATCCCCACATATGCAAACAAAAATCATTGGCCCACTGCCTTCGAAGTCCAGAAGTGTTTTTAGGCATGGCTAGGACAGATGCTCCAATGATACTGTCAGGACTCACTGTTCTCTAGGAGCCAAGACAGACACCAGCAGCTGTGCAGACTGCCAGCCCAGCAGCTCCAGGGACAGTACTTCTTATCACTCCACCAAAGCTCTTGGATCAGATCTTACTGCAAGACTTGGTTGTGAGTCTTTCTTTTGGCCAGTCAGTGAGACCAAAGATATCTATGATAAGGCCCAGATCACATTCCTGCCCCATAACCACTTCCTTCCTTGAAGTGTACCACTGCTCTTATAGCATGTGGTTCAATTCACTCCAGGTTTCACGGGCAGGAAACATCTACTCTAAAGCAATTAGTAACTAGAATGGTACCATTTCAGTCATGCTACCCAGGCGAGGAGGGCCAGAGACTCAAACCTTTAACCCTACCTTCTAAATAATCAGTGCATAGTGTTTTCTTCTAAAATTTATTTTATCCATATAACTGTACCTGATGACCATATAGGCCAGAAGAAGGTATTGAATCTCTGGTGGTTGTGAGTTGCCATGGTTGTGCTGGGAACCATGTGTCATCAGTAAGACTACCAAGTGCTTTTAACCTTTGAGCCATCTTTTCAGCCTCTCACACCATCTTATAAGCCCAAAGGACATACCAAAGGTCATGACACAGACCTGGAAAATGGAGAGTCAGAATGACAGTTCTCAGAGGCAGCTCTAATTCAGATAAGAATATAAGAATATAGGAGCTGGTAGCATGGCTCAGTGGGTTAAAGGCATGTGCTGCCAAGCCTGACAACTGCATTTCATTTGCAGGACCCGTATGATGGAAGGAGAGAACTGACTCCCTCAACCTGTCCTCTGACCTCTATATAAACTCTGTGGTAATGTGTGCCTATATATATATATATATATATATATATATATATATATATATATATATGAAACAAACAAATGGGGGAAAGGAGGATATAAGACTATAAATGGATTAGTTCAGACAAAAATTCTCTGCTCTTCTGTATTCTTTGCATCTCCTGGCCAAATTGAGGAACAGTCTTTAAGGATGTACTTAGTTATGTCAATTTGACTCTTTAAAAAAAAAAAGTTTCTAAGACATGGTCTCATGTAGCCTAGGTTGAACTCCTCATTCTCCTGCCTTGAGTGTCCCAAGTGCTGGTATTACATCCATTCACCACATACTCCTAACTCACTTTTGTTCTCTCCCTCTCAACAAAAAGTTACCAAGCATTTCTCTGATGCTATAAGAAAGAACTGAGTATACAGTGAATGAGACCAAGAGGCTCTCTTCGAAGACTGATTCTGCCTCATGGTGCCAGGTCTCAGCTTTTCTCCATCACCCCTTCAATTCTGGGGTTTCTATGTTAACTGAGGCTGCACCTTTACCAGTGGCCTCTCTCAGTGCCGGGTCTCAGCTTTTCACCATGACCATTTCAGATCCTGCATCTCAAGGAACACATATTCACTGGAATCAACCCCATGTTCTTCCTCTCAACCAAGTCTAACAAGGCCAAGAAAATGGACTCCCCTGTAATTGAGCCAGAAGGACGAGGAGTTTGGAATATTCCATTCAAAAGGCACAGAGGCCAGGCCTTCATGAAGACATCATTTGTCTTCTCTAAAGGGAATTGGGAGTATGCAACAGCTAAAACAATAAGTTGAAAAATATAAATGTAGAGATGGAAGAAGAGGTAAATGGGAAGGATGAGAAAGGCCTCTGACACTAGGTCCAAGTCTTAGTTTGCTTTCTATTGCTAGGATAAAACACTGACCAGCACTGGAAGTTTTGGTGTCTTTAAAAACTCAGTTGTATTATATAAACATGTTTTTGTTTTAATCCCAGGTATGGGATATGAGTTGCTTTAGCTTGTTCACAACAGCAAACTATTTGCCTCATGTGGGCTCTGAGAGGGGTGTGATCTTTGCCAGCTTCAGATAGTTTAGTTCTGGGGACTATGAGAGGGAATAAATGACAGAGCCTAGAGAGACAGAGTAGTCCCCAAGAAAGAAGAAGGCTGCTGCTCCTCCCTGCTGCTCCTGGTTGCTGCTGTTGCAGTTTGACCAGATGAAGAAGTTGGAGATACCCTGAAAGGAAGCTTGGACTTGCCCCAAGGAACCCAATGACCATAACCAGCAGGAAGTAGCTAAAGAGACCTATACCCAATCTCCCCATTAACCTTCTTTCTCTCCTACCTGGTGTTGGGGTGTTGAAAGAGATAAGGAGTAGAGAAGGGAGGTAGAGATATAAGAAAAACCAATAAAATAAAATAAGCTTTAAAAATACACACCTACTCTGAACATAACCAACGAGGAAGGAAGGGTTTATTCCAGCTTACAGTTTATAATTTATGATCCATCATGAAGGCAGGGCAGAAATCTGAAGCCAGAAACTGAAGCAGTGACCATGGAGGAACACTGCTTAGTAGTTTACTCCTCATTTCCCACTCAGCCTGCTTTCTTAAAAGAAAATCAGGACCTTCTTGAGTTCTTTATATATTCTGGATATTAGCTCTCTGTCAGATAAGGAGTTGCTGAAGAGCCTTTCCTAATCTGCAGGCTGTTGTTTTGTTCTAGCAGTATCCTTTGCTTTACAGAAGTTTTTCAGTTTCATGAGGTCCCATTTATTGATTGTTGATCTTAGAGCCTGTGCTGTTGGTGTTTTGCTCAGAAAGTTGTCTCCTGTGCCAATGAGTTCAAGGCTCTTCCCCACTTTTTCTTCTAACAGGCTTAGTGTGTCTGGTTTTATGTTGAGGTCTTTGATCCACTTGGACTTTAGTTTTGTGCAGGGTGATAAATATGGACCTATTTGCATTTTTTCTACATGTAGACATCCAGTTAGACCAGCACCATTTGTTGAAGATGCTTTTTTCCATTGTATTGTTTTGGCTTCTTTGTCAAAAATCAAGTATCTGTAGGTGTGTGGGTTTATTTCTGGGTCTTCTACTCAATTCCATTGATCCACCTTTCTGTTTCTATGCCAGTACCAGGCAGTTTTTCTTACTATTTCTCTGTAGTACAGCTTGAGATCAGGGATGGAGATGCCTCCAGATGGTCTGATATTGTACAGTATTACTTTAGCAGTTCTGGGTTTTTGTTTTTCCATACGAAATTGAGAATTGTTCTTTCAAGTTCTGTAAAGAATTGTGTTGTTATTTTGATGGGAATTGCATTGACTCTGTAGACTGCTTTTGATATGATGGCCATTTTTCCTATATCTGACAGAGGGCTAATATCCAGAATATATAAAGAACTCAAGAAGTTAAACACCAACAAACCAAGTAATCCAATTAAAAAATGGGGTACAGAGCTAAACAGAGAATTCTCAATAGGGGAATATCAAATGGCAGAGAAACACTTAGCCATCAGGGAGATGCAAATCAAAACAACCCTGAGATTTCACCTTACACCTATCAGAATGGCTAAGATTAAAAACACATGGTGGAGAAAGAGGAACCTTTCTACATTGCTGGTGGGAATGTAAACTTGTACAACCACTTTGGAAATCAACCTAGCGCTTTCTCAGAAAATTAGGAATAGTGCTACCTCAGAATCCACCTATACCATTCCTAGGCATATATCCAAAGTATGCTCCACTATACAAGGACATTTGCTCAACCATGTTAATAGCAACTCTATTTATAATAGCCAGAATCTGGAAATAACAACAGAGAAATGGATACAGAAATTGTGGTACATTTATACAATGGAATACTACTCAGCTATTAAAAACAAGGAAATCATGAAATTTGCAGACAAATGAATGGAACTGGAAAAGATCATCTTGAGTGAAGTAACCCAGAAGCAGAAAGACACACATGGTATATACTCACTCATAAATGGATATTAGCCATATAATATAGGATAAACATACTAAAATCTACACTCCTAAAGAAGCTAAACAACAAGGAAGACTCGAGGGAAGATGCTCAATCCTCATTCAGAAGGACAAACGTAATAGGCATTGGAAGCAGGAGAAGACAGAGAACAGGACAGAAGCCCACCACAGATGGCCTCTGAAAACACTCTACTGCTCGAGGTTTCGAAGCAGAGGCTGAGACTCAGCCAAACTTTGGGCAGAGTGCATGGAATTTTTTGAAAGAAGGGAGAGATAGAAAGACCTGGAGGGGACAGGAGTTCTAAAAGGAGACCAACAGAACAACAACAACAAAAACCGAGCCCTGGAAGCCCCGCAGAAACTGATACCTCAGCCAAGTTCAATGCATAGAGAGGACCTAAAACCCCTGCTCAGATGTAGCTCATAGACTCAGTATCCGCGTGAGGTTCCTAGTAAGGGAAGCAGGGGTTGTCTCTGGCATGAACTCAGTGACAGACTCTCTGATCACCTCCCCTTGGGGGGGGGGGGGGTGCAGCCTTGCCAGGCCATGGAGGAAGACAATGCAACCAGTCTTGATGAGACTTGATAGGCTAGGGTCAAATAGAAGGGGAGGAGCACCTCTCCTGTCAGTGGACTAGGTGAAGGGCATAGGGGGAGAGGAGGGAAGGAGGGTAGTATTGGGAGGAGAGGAGGGAGAGAGACAAAGCTGGGATACAAATTGAATAAATTGTAATAAATGATTAAAACAACAACAACAATATTCTAGGCCTTGATTAGCAGACAGAAGCTGGAAGCTGAAGCCTTCAAAGTCCAGGCTTGCAGAATATTATATTGTATGGAGACTAAAAGCTTCCAGGCCTAGGCCTAGGGATAGTTAAATACATAAAAAGCCATGTATTTGTCAAGCTTGGGTATGGGTCTCATGTCATACACTCTTCTGAGGAAATAAAAACTAAAATTACAAGAAAACAACAACAACAAAAACTCAGGACCACCTGCCCAGGGCTGGCACCCCCCTCCCCCAAGGAGGCTGGGTCCTCCCACATCAATCATTAAGCAAGAAAATGCCCTACAGACTTGCCTATATGCAATCTGATGGAGGCATTTTCTCAACTGAGGTTCTTCTTCTGGGATAAGTCTGGTTTGTGTTAAGTTGGCAGAACACTTACCAAGACAGACAGTAAGACCCTGATACCATGTTAGAACTGGCATCTTGTTCCCATAATTGCTGGATTTTGTCACTTTTATCTCTTTCCCTTCCCCAGGAAGGGCCTCTGCTTTTCTTGGGAATGTCATCACACTGTTAAGCAAGGCTCTGGGGTAGGAAGAAGAAAGAAGTAGGTGGGCACATTTGTCCAATGAAAAGAAAACAAGCTGATGCTTTGGTGGAAACCTCAGCGGTAGGCTTGCATCTGGCAAGCCTTCAAGGTCTGAGACACTGAAAACCTAAGCTGTTCGTGACTCTCTTTAGACTCTGTTCTGCCCAACCCCACACATACAAGGGACACTTCAGCACAGATGACCAAAATTGGTTTTGATTTCCTCCAACCTAGAGCCTCCTTGGCTGTGGTCTGAATGCCACAGAACTGAGAAGAAGGAGGGTAGCGAGCTTGAGCCTCTGACCACACCTCCCTCAAAGCCATCCCACCTCTCTCACACCCATGGTTCCCCCAGGGGCAGCTGAAAGGAGCAGAAGAACACACATGGTACTTCATTGGTGCTTTATTATACAGAAGAACCGGATATTTACATCTTGAGAATTTTTATATTTCACATGGCTTGGGGGGTGGGGGCCATGGGACTGGAACCCAGAAGGGATGTAGACATGGTGGGTCATAGGAGAACTTGGTAACCCAAAGCAGAGGTAGTCAGAGGGACTGGTGCTAGGAAGATGGGTGTTCCTCCTCCTCCTCCCATCTTTGCCCCACTTGCCTTCTGCCTGTTGCCAGTTCTTCCTTCTCCTTCCTTACTTTTAAGCCTTTACTTTTCCTGGAAGAGCAAACCCAAAGGAGCAGGAGAGGGGCTAAAGAGGAAAGTTAAGGCCCAGAAAGAGGCTTTGCTAACTCATAGTCTTCTAATTTTATCTCTACTTGTGTTTGGTTTTTCATTTTGCTGAGATGCTTAGCAAGCCATGGTCTACCATGAGTTCTCCTCTGATTTAAGAGACTGTGGTTGGCACTAGCTCATGGCACAGCACACAGAGCCCAGGCCAGTACATACCAGGTCCTGATATATCTACCATACCATCTTAGCCCCCGGATGCATTCTTTCCCGTGGCCACTATTTGGGAAGATTTTGTTAATGATGACAACAGAGGACTTATATGCTCTGAACAGTTCACTTTTTCATCCTGTGATCAGAGACAGATGGTCTTTCTTGTCACATCCAAATATGTAGAACAGAAACCTGGAAATTTGCTTAGAAGAAGACACACAGTCTTTAACTGATTACAAAGAAGATAACCAAAGGAATAACACGCGGACTCGCTAGAAATTTAGACCAAAACGAAATACAAAGGAAATTTAGTACCTAGTCTTATTTGGAGCAAATGTACACGAACTAGTTTTTGGAGGGTTTGTTTGTTTGGTGTTTGTTTGTTTTTCAGACAGTGTCTCATATAGACTTGGCTAGCCTCAAACTCATTATGAAGCTGAGGGCGACCCCCAACTCTAAATTTTCCTGCCTCTACATCCCACATGCTGGGATTACAGGTATGCACCACCACTCCTGGCTACATGTTTTTAATAATAGTTTATGGAAGACACTTCAACTCTCTTTTCACTTGCCTCCTCTTTAATTTGAAAGTCCAGCTTTGGCTGATGCCCAGACCTTTAGAAGCAGACAATAAGATGACAACAGTGTCATCCCAAAAGGGCTGGCTCACTTTCATAGAAGACATCCTTAAGGAACGATTTCTATATTCCTAGACCACCAACACATGGCCACTCCACACTACCTCAAGGCAGGTTCCTTAACTCCAAAAGTACCAATGATCCCACAGTGGTGGTGGCAGAAAAGCAGGAAATCTAGGTAATTCTCCAAACTAATGGCAATTTTGCCATCCCTGGGGAATCTCAGATTCTCAATTCTTGGGAAAACAACAACAAAATATCTTTCCCCACCAAAGGCTCTCAATCAGCCTTGGGGAAATAAAGAGATCAGGTACCCCGAAAGAGTTGATAAATAGGTTTGCCACCATTTAGTGAATGCCTACTCTGAAACTGACCCCATGACAGGACCCTAAGAAATTAGAAAGTCGGCCTTTTCTCCTGAGTCTTCAAGAGTCCAGGGGCTGGCTACTCAGTGAGTCACATGAGATTTAGAAATGTTTCAAGCTCCATGCATGGCCTCTGACTCATCCTTCACCCTACTTGTTGGCCTGTGCCAGAATTCTCACTGGGCACCTGGGAGACAGCAGAGAAACTGAGCTATGAAAAGGTAACTATTAAACTTAGAGAAGGACCTTTTCTGCTTGTTTTAAAGATGGACTTTTTGGAGAGAGGGCTCAGCCAGGGACCACAACAGGATTCAGGCAGAGAATGATGCTCCACTGGGCTTTGGGATCCAGACTCAGTTCCCAGGGCAATTATCACCTATTACTGAGTCTTGAATTCCTCCCCACTTCTTACCTTCTCTTCCTGAGATTAAATTCTTGTGTTTGGAGTGGGATGGGAGGCACTTGGGGAAGCAAAAGGTAAGAACGGTCAAGAGGGGAGAGGCAGAAGGATCAAGAGCCTGTTGGGAGCACCCAGGAGTCCCAGATAGCTACAGCATCCCTAAAATGCAATAACCGCATACAAATATCCCTTCTCTTGGATTGTCCACCACTCCCAAAAAAAGGATTGGGATGAGAAGAAAGGTTGTGGCAGTAGGCATACAATGTAAAACCATACAAGTTAGGGGGTCCCATAGAGCCACAGGCTTCCCAGCGTATTCCTTGCCAGGACCTGAGAATCTTGTCTTGCTGAGGGCAGAGATCTCATTAGTGCTTGTAGTTGGTGTGGGTTGGGAGCACACACAAGGGTCTCTTTCTTTCTGCCCTACCTTGTGGAAGAGGCACCAGGTCTCTGCCCTGGGTGATAAGTGGGGGAGAGGGGAAGACAGCAGAATGTGAAGAGGCTGTCCTAGATGGTGGAATCACCAGTCACCTCTGGCACTTCACCCCAGATTGGCTTCTTAGGGGCTTTCAAGGACAGTGGCATCTTGTGACGTCATAAGGTAGTACTCCACGGTGTAAAGATGAGTCCCCTGGGAGAAAACCATGCTATGTTCTGTGAAATATTTATAAGGATTCCATGAAAGGCAAACAGAAACCTATCGTCAAGTAATTAAGCTTAACTGCTGCAGTAATTAAGTTAAAAGGTCCTAATTCTCAGTACCTTTTAGACACTAACATGACCCCATGACTCTTAGAAAGGGACATAATATGTCATGTCTTCCAAAACATATTTTAACAGGAAGTACTTTTTGCATGGGCATAGGTAAAGATTAACGAGACACAGAACACATTTTATAGCCTATCCTCAAGTCACAGGGGAAATGCTCCAATGTCTTCAGTAGTTCTCTTCCGGGCCTTTCTCTGTGAGGTCTGCCTGCTCAGTTTGCACTCAATAATCCTGGCCCTGTTCTTTACTTTCCTACTTTCCCCTAAGCAGATTTCCAGGTCTCTGTTCTACGCATTTGGACTTCACAGGGAAGACCCAGGGTGAAAGTGAAGCTGAAGGCGGCCAGGTCAAAACAGCACCTTGGAAGCACTCATTGGTTTTGGCCATGGAGACAGAACAATGGAGCCAGGAGTGTTGGCCCTCCTGGTGTGGAGTTGTAGTTGTATTTCTTTTAAAAGCAGCCATCATTGGGAGGGGAGAGGACAAACAGGGAGGGATATTTACAAGTGAGAGGCCAAGAGAGAGCCAGAGGGCAAGAAGGCTCCACCTCCTGAAGAGCCACGGCTTGCCAACGTGGCTCCCTCTGCCCTCAGCAGCAGTTCTCCATTCTTGGGAGGTTGCGGGTTCCCAAACTGGGTTCCATCGGGCTCTACAAAATGGTTTCCCTCCAGCCTGGTAGCCCCTGGCTGATGACAGGAGATGAGGGTCACTGAAGGGAAGCCATAGGTCTGCAGCCCAGGAGGCTGCCCAGCCTCAGAAGCTTCCAGAATAAGATCCACATCAGAGAAAGCCACCAGCGCTTGGGTGGAGTCGCAGGAGCTCTTCTCCAGCTCACCGGCTGCAGCATAGGCCAGGGACCCCGTGGACCGAGGGCTTGGCCAGAGCCTCCGAAGGTCATCCCGGAAGTGAGGGTTGAAGAGCAGGTAGAGCAGTGGGTTGAGGCAGGCGGGCAGAGGCAGCACCACCAGAAGGACCGACTTGACAGCCTCAGGGGTGACAGGGAAGAGGCCCAGCATGGAGGCAAAGCTGAGGAAGGCCACGGGGCAGTAGAGGAGGCCATCAGCAAAGATGAGCCAAGCCACGTGCCGCACCATGGCGCAGTCCCACACGGCCTCAAAGTCACCCCGCGGCAGGTCACAGTAGAGCTTGATGTAGGCGCCGGCCACCACCAGGAAGCAGAGCGAATTCATCATCACCAGGGCCACTGCGAAGCCCAGGGCGGCGGGCCGGCCCTCGGGAGGGGCGTAGGGCAGGCAGAGCGGGGAGGCGCCGTACTCCCCCACCGAGGCCAGCGGCAGCGCGGCGGCCAGCCCGGCCAGCGCCAGGCACCCCAGTGCGCCTGCGCGGACGCTGCCGGGCGCTGGCGCCTTCCCGTAGGCCCGGACGCAGGTCACGGAGACGCTGCACTGCGCCGCCGCCAGTGTGAGCAGCAGCACCGACGCCTCCGACCCCAGCACGGCCAGGAAGCCCGTGACCTGGCAGCCCGGCCCGGTCTCCCAGCGGGCTCCGTACTCAGCGAACTGGCCGAAGGTCAAGGCGTCCACCGAGGCCAAGAGGGCGCAGGAAATGCCCGTCAAGGCGTTGGCGCCTGCGATCGCACCCACCACAAGCTTGACCGGGGACAGCAGGCTCGGTCCGCCGGCAAAGACTGTCAGCAGCACCAGCCCGTTACAGAGTACCGAGAGCAGCACGATGGCCCACACAGCAAGGCGGATGCCCCAGCTCTCAAAGAGGTGCTCGCAGGGCTTGAAGGGGCCTGTGAGAGAAAAGAGCAGGTGTAAGCCAGGGCCGGGGCTGCCAGAACTCACTGGCAGAGCCAGCCGCTATGCTCAGACAGGAGACAGTCTCTGTCTCAGAAATGCAGACTTGGCCTCCCTCAGAAAACTCCTGGAATTAGGGGAGAAACTACGAAGAACCTGCAAATAAAATACACAGAAGTATATGAGTGATAGAACGCAAACCCAGACCGGAGCAAATACTAAGAAAAGCAGTCTTTCCAAAGGAGCATGATTGGGACAGATAGAAGGAACAAGCTGGCAGACAGGAGTGAAGAAAAATTACGGCTGGAGGAAAGGCAGAATATGGAGCTGGCCAGAGTCAACCGTTTTTTGTTTGTTTGTTTGTTGTTGTTTTGGTTTGGTTTGGGTTTTTGTTTTGTTTGTTTGTTTGTTTTGGGTGGTGATGCTGCCCAAGCAAACACGATGTAGGCTGGTTTCCCTTGCTTTGAGTACACTGCGTGTTCATCATGCAATCAGTTTTTGGAAGACAAAGCATATGGTCAAAATATAGAAAACTCTGCCAAGCGTGGTAGTTCACACCAGCGTTCAGGGAGCTGAGGCAGGGGGATGATGAGTTTGAAGCCAGCCTGAGATTATAGTGAGACCCTAACTAAAAACAAAGAAAAAAATACTTGGAACTTCTGCAGTTCTCCAGCTTGACTCCACCTTAGATGGGTAAGATCCTGGCATTTTTCCATCTCTCTCTCCCCAGTGCCTATTCTTAAGTTGCCTTGTAACTTTTGGGCATATTATTTCTTCATTTCCTTTGGCTTCAGACTTGTTTTTCAGTATATTGCTAGGTAGCTTGGGAATTTAAGAGATTTCTGTGGGAGCTATTTTTAAAACATTTTTTCTGATTATGGAATAATAGATGGCAATTGTTGGAAATTTGAAAATATAACATGGAAAATTTTAAACTGTTTATGACCTCACCTCTAAAACAGAACTTATTATTTTGGCATATTTTTCCAAAGTTTTAATGTCCATATTTAAAATAAGTTGAGATTTTATTCTCTTTAAGTTGAGCTTTGCATAATTCCTCAAACCTCAAAAAACATATTTTCAATGGCTGTATAATAATAAATGCCCTATCATATTTATTTGGCCAATTGTGTGAGCTCTTTTAAAAGCAAGTTTAAGTTGGACCTTGTTTTTCAGAATGTTTTCTTTTTAACTCATCCTTGTTGATTGCTGATTTTCAGACTTGAAATTCCTGAGGTAGAGCTAGCTATTGAAGCATGTGTTTCCTAGCAAAATATTCTGTGTGCCGACTTGATCGACACTAGGGGGCGTTATTTTTCCACTAACGGTAAGAGCTGGTATTGAAAAAGGTCAAGGCTGAAAGCTTTCTGGGCAACAGGTTTAAGCCAAGAAATATGGAAACCTGGAAAACAGAGGTGGGATGAAATAGAAACAGCTAACTATTCGTCATTTTGTGTTTATTCTGAACAGTTCTTAGCCCAAGCAGCATTGTGGGTTTTTGTTTGTTTGTTTGTTTGTTTGTTTGTTTTTTGGCATGACCTGTTAGTGTTTTGTTATTTTGTTTCGGTTTTTGAAACAGGTTTTCAATAGGTAGCCCTAGCTGTCCTGGAATTCAACATATAAACCAGGCTAGTGTCACACTCACAGAGATCCATCTGCCTCTGCCTACTAAGTGCTGGGATTAAAGGCACAAACTACTATGTCTGGCTCTGTTGGCATTTTATATACAGGGAAGGGACTCTTCACACTTCAAAAACAAACAAACAAAAAACTTAGGTTATGTGGCATCAAGGGAAAAGAGCCCCTCCCCTTTCCAACAACATGGCTCTCATGGCTCCAGGTTAGACTCTAGAGGAGGCTTCCCAGAATCTAACAAAGCACTTTAGGAATTACCCAGAGACACCAGAGTTTTTCCACCCAGGAAGATTTTAATAAAGAAAACTTTCACTCTTCATGGGATGGAGAAGGCGATCTTTCAGAGCCCCACCTGGCTGTATGAGTCTGTGGTGTGTGTGTTTGAGAGCATACTCAGAAAGCAGCCACAGCAACCCCAGCGATGACATCAAGGCGTTCTTTCTCATTTCATGAGAGCAACTTTTTCCTAGATGCATGACCTCTGCTTTGGCTGAATTATAAAGGTTTCTTGACCCTAATCAGCCCCTGCTTCCCCTGTGTAAACACCTGAGGGAAAGAACTCCAGCTTCCCTCCACAAGGATTATAAGAGGCCCCCCACCCAGCATGTTGAGCATTGGGCAAAGAAAGTATCTGGAACATGACTGTAGACAAGCTGAACTGCTTCTTATTCAGGTAATTCTTCTTCAGTTTCCCAGCCACCCATCTCACCTGGGACAGGGCTGCACTGGACACTGGGGTGTGGCCTGGAGTCCTCCATCTCCATCTGGAGCTCCTCCAGGTCTAGGTCATCTGAGAAGGAAAAACAGAAAATGGCTAGAGTCCCAGGGCTTGGTGTCTGTCATTAAAGCCGCACCTTTGTCTTAACTCATACTTATTTAAGCTGATCTCTCGCCACCTAACTGCTCAACACTGGTCATCCAACAGCCCTGATATTTCTACTCTTGGGTATCAGTATTTGGGTAGCTCCATGTTCTCTGCTTGTGGATATTGTATATTTCTATTCTCTTCAATGAACATTTCACTCTCCACTATTCTGCATTTTTCTTGTTCCCAGTCATCTTTAGTCCATGAGTGCTGCATAAGCTGTGGCTGGTGGCTGCTCTAATAAAGAGAGCTAGTGATTACATAGTTACTCCTCCAGCCAGCCTGCCATTGCAATTCCATGTCCTCTTATCAACACTACACAGTAAGTAGAATGGTGGAAGCCAGGCGGTGGTAGCACACACTTTTAATCCCAGAGCTTGGGAGGCAGAGGCAGGAGGATCTCTGTGAGTCTGAGGCCAGCCTGGTCTGCAAAGTGAGCTACAGGACAGCCAATACTACAACAACCAGAAGAAGGAAAAGGAGGGAGAAGAAAAGAATGTTGGTGCTGGGCATGGTGGGCCCTCCTGTGATCCCAGAATTTGGTAGGTAGAGGCAGGAGGATCAGGAGTTCAAGGCCATCATCAGCTACAAAGCAAGTGTGAAGCAAGTCTGGGCCACATGAAACCTCATTCTCAACAGCAAGCATGAGCCTCAGCAGCTACGAAAAAGCCAGGCATAATGGCATGCATCTGCAGCCTTAGCATAGGCGGGACAAACAGATGGGGAGGACAGGATTGAGGAGGATAAGAGGATCCCTGGCCAGTTAGTCTAGCCAGTTGGTAAGCTTTGGCCCCAGTGGGAGAGCCTGGCTTTGAAAATTAGAGGGGAAGCAATAGAAGAGGACATGCAGCATCAGCCTGTGGCCCTCACAGGCATGTGCATCTACACACACGCCAAAGCAAACAAAACAAAAACAAAACCCCAGAGTGGTTTTTGGACTGAGCTGATATGTGAGGTTTAGCTTCCTCCATCACAGAGGAATAAGTAGAGGACTCTGCTGTACTTCTCCCCATCTTTGGCTCACGTGGTCTGCTTCCTGTGTATAACTTAACAGGTAAACATCTGTTAGGAGTTTCCCAGGAGGCTGGAAGTTTCTGGAGCTGCCCTTGAGCTGGATAGCTTCAGGGCAGGTGGAAGACCAAGTTGTGCCCAGAGTCCTGGCATTTCCTTCTCTACCTTTCAGCCCCCACCTGCCCATGCACTCCAGAAAGGATTTCCGAGACTCTTTAAAATCAAAATGCATGAATGAAATACAGGGGTGAAACCTACAGACTCTGTCTGAGGCTGGGAAAGTCACGGCCAAGGTGTTAAGTAACCACTCTACAAATAAAGAGGAAATCGAATCTGGCTGGAACAGCAGCTCCTGGCTTTCTTTCTGCTCCTTCCTTTGCTTTCACAGGAAGTGGGGGGCCCTGCCCTAGCTCCTGTTACAGACTGCAGGCAGCCCACTAACTCAACAGGCCCCGTGGTTCTCCAAGACCTAAGCCCAGCGGAAAGTTTCACCTTGTGGAAGGAAAAATTTCCATTCCTCTTTCCAGCCCTTTTTTACTCCCCCAAGGAGTATACAGCAGACATCCGGGACCATCCCTGGGGAATAGCTGTCTGTCTGCTGGCCCTAATAGTTGCCGGGTTCCTCCTCCTCTTCCTCCTCCTCCTCTTCCTCCTGAGAACTTGTACCCTCTTTGGGAGATGCTTCTGTCCTGTTCCATCCACTGGGATGGAAGTTCTCAGAGATCCCCAGACAGTACAGTATTCGACTTCCATAATCTGTGTTCTAGGTTATACAATGACACTGTTCCCACATATGTGCCCCTAACTCTCAAAGCAGTATTGACAGATACACTTTGCCTTGTATGGAACCCTCCTGTCCTCTCTCACAGCCATTGAGAGATGTGTTAACTTTTCTTAATGGAAAGATAAGGAAATTAAACTCGGATTAAAACATGCCAAAGTGTAGTTGGGTTTGGACTGAGTTCTGGGTATACTGTAGCTCCAGCATGAGATGCCGTGAGTCTCATGTAGCCAGGCTAGCCGTAAACTGACTCTGTAGATGATGATGACCTTGAACCCCTCGTCCCCTGCCTGCACCCTGGTGTGTGGTAGCAGCACACTCAGCTTTAGGTTTCATCTTTTTCTGTTCAGCTTCTCTGAGATATTGGGGGATGTTGAAGATGGAAAATTAAAATCCAGCCACAGGATTTCTTTCTCTATCCTAACCCTACTTGTGGTTGAGAACGTAGGGCCTGGAAAAAGAAAGCACCCTTCTCTCCCCTTTATCCAAGATATACTTTACAGTCAGCCCTCCAGAACCCCTTGGCTACCTACCTCCAACTTTCTCTTCCTCCAGAAATAGATACACCTGGCCCAAGACAACCTGTTCACTCAACAGGGCCATGTACTCAGTGGCCACTTAAATTTCACATTTGAACTCACAGGAAGAACAGAGGCAAAAAAAACATCCAGCCTTGGAGGCAATACTTCCCTGCAATGTTCTATTTACTTGTAAGACAAGGGTTTCCCTGTGTAGCCTTGACTCTCCTGGACTCACACTGTAGACCAGGCTGGCCTTGAACTCACAGAGATCTGTCTGCCTCTGCCTCTGCCTCCACAAGTGCTGGGAATATAGCATGTGCCACCATGCCCAGCTTGAGCTTTCTTTTTCAACAAGTGCTCTTGAGTGTGCAAACAGTGGGACAATTGCTTCCAGGTTGAAGGTATCCCCACTAACACTTCTCTAAACGTCCCTTTAAGATCCCTCTCTTCAGCCCCGATACCCTCAGCCCACGGTCCCAGCCACTCACAGTGGTTCTCAGCTTGTCCGGCAAGGAGACCCAGGGGCCTCTTTGGTGCCTCTTCTTCCTCCAGGTGAAGGTCCTCAGCCTGCCACTGCCCAGGCGTCTTGAAGAGGCTGGCACACATGCCGTAGGCACAGCACTGGTAGGCATAGGGCACCTCCAGGATCCTAGGGTCGGGGAGAAGCGCCTTAGTGTGTTCAGGATCTAAGAGCTCCGCCCCTGCTCCTCAACCCCAGAGGAGCTGCTCCCTCTATAGCAGTGGTGTTCAACCTTCTTCCTGCTGTGACCCTTTACTACAATTTCTCATGTTGTGGAACTGTTGCTACCTCACAGCTGCTGTTAGAAATCATAATGTAAATATCTGTTTCTGATGGTCTGAGGCAACCCTTGTAAAAGGGGTGTTCCACTCCCAAAGGGCTTGAGACACACAGGTTGACAACCACTACTCTAGACCTTTCTTTAGAGGAATCTTGAAGCTTGATTCCTGACCCCATAAAGCTCTGGAGAGATGTAGTCTTCTCTTCACTCCTTTTAACTGAGAAGGAGAGAGAAGCCTTCTGCCTATTCATTTAGAAGTCCTCACAGCAGGCTCAGAGTTGGGGGCAATTTCCCCAAGTCACACGGCACTCAGGGCAGTGACTCTTGTCTTACATTTAAGGAGGCACTAAGGAGGCCATGCTGGAATGTGACTCAGCAATGGAACACTTGCCTGGCACGCACACAGCTATTGGGTTTGATCTTAAGTTCTGGGGAAATGGGGGGAGGGCATGGATTCTTTTTATTTTTCTTTCTCCCTTTCCCTGTTTTCTGTCTTTTCTCCCTTCCTTTCTTTTTCCTCCCTTCATCCTTTCCTTTTCTTTCAAGACAGGGTCTCGTGTGACCCAGGCTCGCCTCAAACTCCACCTGTATCCAAGGATGACGTTGAACCACCCATCTTCTTTCTTCCACCTTTTAAGTATGTAGGACCCTGCACAACATCTCCCTTCCTTTCTTTGTGTTTGAGTGTGTTTGTACATGCTCCTATGCACACAAGCAGGGACCAGAAGAAGGTGTCAAGCGCCCTCCTTTTCTATTTTCCTGAGACAATGTTTCTTCCAAACTCCACCTGTTTTCTTGGCTAGGCTCAGAGCCGACAAACCCATTATTCTCCTGACTCTGCCTTCCTTGGAGGTGGGATTACAAGTGTGTATGGGATCCCAACTTATATATAGGTTCTGGGATCTGAACTCCCGTCCTCATAACTGCACAGCCACCGCCCCAGTGTCTCTTTCTCTCTTTCTTAAAAAAAATAAATAAAAAATAAAAACCACGATTTCCCTAGTGACTCTTTACCCTTGTCTTCTGTGAAACCAACACCCTGTCCCCTTCCCAGCGCCTGGCAGAAAAGAACTGGATTTTGTGCCCTCTGAGGGTGAGGACAGATGCCTTGGGCATCTCATTAGCTTGCAGCAGACAGAGCTTGGGCCACACAGGCTGCACTGCTGCTGCCACTACATGAAGGAAGCCTGGATGTCATTAGCACCAGGGACTGGCTGTGCAGCTTGTTTTCCATTCATCAGTGCCCTGGGCTCTGCCCCGATTCTGTGCCTCAAACAAGGATGGGATAGCCAGGCTAAGGAGAAAACAGGCAAGAAATAGGGAGGCCCAAGGAAGCTCCACAGCAGCTCACTCTCTGTCCCACAGGTCCCAGTGTCCTTAAGATTGGTGGTTGGGATATGGGGAATAGCTGAGGACAGCCTTGTCCCTGGGTACCTGACAGGAGGTTAGTTGAGCCAAACTCTAAGCCACCAGGCTAATCTCAAGGTGAGACCCTGTGGCTTTTTCAGTTTCTTTGTCCTCAAGTTGTCTGGGACACACCTCCTAGGCACAGGGCAAGCCAAGCTCTCACCTCAGTTTTGGGAAACTGTCCTTGGAGAAGGCCTGGGACAGGGCCAAGTTCCCTTTGAGCTTCAGGTGCATCAGGCCTCCCAGCCCCGCCAAGGGCAATGTGGTCAGCTGGTTGTCGGTCAGGTCCCTAGGACAGTGGATGATCAGGGTTATTGACATTCAGTGGGACTGCTGGGGGGGGGCAGGGCTTTGTTGAGGGTGTGGCCAGCGTGCCTGAGATGAGAGCAAGAGGAAAGGAGCAAAGAACAGAAGATAAGCACAGGAGAGACAGTGTGAGGCAAGGGTGCTTAAGGGTTTCTAGAGACACTGGCTATCAGCTCAGCCACCCATTCATTCAACAAACCTTCGGTGATAGCTGTGTATCAGGGGCTCTTCTAATGTAATGTCATATCATTCCAATATATAGGTAACAGAGCCCCACAACTGTCGTTTCTGGGTCTGGGTCCCATCCAGGAACCCTTGCTCACCCGCATGGGAGACCTCTCTGCTGTCTTCCTGTGTCCCATTCATTCCCTTTGCTTCTCTGATGATTGAATAGGCCAGAGTCAGACAGGGTAAGACAGAGCTGGCCATCCAACCCTACACAGGCGTTGGATCATCCACTCTGCCTTGCAGACCCTGCCTGGTAGCCACAGGTGAGGACACACATAACTTCTCCAGGAGACATTATTAGACTAAGCCAGGAGTCCAAGGCAAACACTAGGACCACAGACTGTGCGTCGTGGAAATAGCCCTGGACTGGCAGGCAGGAAACCTGGCACTGTCACCGACTCACTGTGTAACCAAAGAGAGTCACAAATCTGCCCAAGTTCCAATGGCCTCATCTTTCAAAGGATAAAAATAGCTCTCCTACCTATCTGGCAGGAGTATAGCAAATAGCAGAGGGAAGATGGAGGTGAGAGTTTTACAAGACCAAGGCCCAGAGCCCAGAGAGCCACAGACTAGGGAGACAGGAATTGCATGCTAAATGGGAGTCATGGTGAGTCCTTAAGCTGGCTTCTCCTTAAGGTGAGGGTCTGTAGCCTGATAATCTCCGAGGCCAGGAGGCTTGAGGAATCTTTGTGTTGGTCAGAAGGGCTCCATGTATGTGGGAATGCCTTTGGCATGTGACTTGGCAAGCAAGCCAGGGGGATCCCAGTTCCTTCTTACCCCTGTATAGTTAATACCCGGCACCACAGTGTATGGGCAACCAGGTCAGAGGCCCTTTTCAGCTGGACACAATGACCATGTACCAGCCCTGCATGCTCTCTGTTTGCATCCTACGTGACTTACAGAGTCCATGGCTCCCTACCACCTTGCAGCTCTCTGAGACCCTGGGTTCGCCATTAACCACCATCCTCTTGAATTGAGAAGTTCGGACACATATGCCATCTTTATTGGTGCATGTGGAGGACAGACAGGCCAGGGTAGAGGCGAGGGAGGGGATGTGATGAGGACTGAGGCTGCCAAAGCATTGCAGAACATTAGCAGATGATGCGATGCTCCAGGGTTTGCAGGAAGCAGGCTCTCTGTTTACCGGGCTCTCGGTGTGTCAAACACACCCTTAGAATGATTGATTAGGGTTCTCAGACTTCCCTCCGATGTATAGCGAAACATTTGTACAAGTCTCTGCTTAATGATGGCCCTTCTGTAACCACCGACCAGCCCACAGTTCTAACTGGTCCTCAGCATCTCAGAAGAGAGCTCAAGGGGTACTTACAGCTTAACCAAGGAACGCAGGGTTGAGAAGGCCTCAGGGTGGATGGCCCGGATGACATTCCAACTCAGGTCTCTGCGAGCAGAAAGCAGGAGGTAGGATAGGGCAGGAACATGTGGAAAAGGCATTTTTCCTATCCTGGGCCTATCTTGGGCTTGCTCTCACATACTTTCCATCTGACCTTCCCAAGCAACAGTGGCCTTAAGCCTTTTGGGGAAGGTTTCTACTGCCACCTAGTTCCCAACCTGGTTGTAGCCCCTGGGACGGAGCCATCATGTCTTGGTTCCAGAGCCTCAGAACTTCCTGGGTAATCACTGGAGAAGGGGTCTGCCTAACTATCCGGATGGGGAAGTGCCTCATGGGAGTGTGTGTGTGTGTGTGTGTGTGTGTGTGTGTGTGTCTGTGTGTGTGTAAAGGAGCTGTGGAACATACATGTCATAAGTGCTTAAACTGGACACATGTGCTATGGGAATGAACTTGGAGGGGATGGGGGTCCTCCAGATCCCCCATGGTGGTATAGGTACTCACAGAGCTTGCAAGGAGCTCAGTTGGCTGAAGGTATCTGCACGGATTTCCCAGATCCGGTTGTGCTGGAGGCCGCTAGGGCAGCAAGAGAGACTAGATGAGCCTGCAGGCCCAGACTCTGGCTCTGCTCCATGCCCCGCAAGCACTGGAAGGAAGACAGGAGAGCCCCCCACTTCTCCTGGCACAGGAAAAAAGGCCTAGCCCTCGGAAGTCACCAGAATTAAAGGGAACACAAGGGGATCCGGTTGCCTTGAGTAAGTGGGTCAGGAGACAAAGCCACAAAACCATCCCTGTGGCCCAAAAGGGAGTCAGCTTCCAGGGTTCCCACCGGGCCTGGCTCCCAGCCCAGCTGAAGTGCCCCCACTTTCCCCCACAGACATGGGTCTTGTAGACCCTAGCCTAGGCACAGGCCCTGCCCAGCCCTTGGGTAACCAAGTGACTGCATTGAGTTGAGAAGCAGAGTTCAGTAGTCTTATTGTCTATGATGTCAAAGACATTGTCATCCAGACAAACAGGACAAACCAAGATATATCTTCCCTGCCATGGCCCCATAAAGCATTGCCCTGCCTAGGATTGGGGGCAGCTACAAAGAACTCAGGAGACCAGAGTAGGTTAAGGAAACTAGAGATGGTCAAACTAAAGAAATTTTAAAATGAGCTTTTCCTTGTGAAGCCGAAAGCTCCTGTTGAGCCATGTTTACCTTTGTGTTTATGAGCATGCACATACGTGAGAATGTTGATGGGTTGTGGAAATTGAGAGCACATGCTCCCAAACCTAGGGCACTTCTAGTTCCCTTGAAGACTTCCTGTGTCTCACATAGAGTGCCATGGTGGCCCTGTCCCTCCACTGGCTCTAATCACAACTGTATTTTGCTGTTGCTGCTGACTCAGAAGGAGCCACCCTGAGACTCCTTTGGACACCTGTTCCTAGCCAGATCATCTACTGTTAGTCTTAGGCGGGGTGCCCTGTGGGCCTTGCTGGGCTCCCAGCTCTACATCGAGGTCCCACAGACTGAAGAGAGAGAAGGATTAGAGCATGCTTTAGGCCCTGGGCCCTTCTCTCAGACCTGCCCAGAGACTCTCCTGCATGCCTTTGCCCCTGGCCAGCCCCAGACTTACATTTCCTGTAGCTTCTGACACCTGTGCAGGCTGGGCAGCTCCTCGATCTGATTATGAGACAGCTCCCTGGGGAAGAGACAGGGCCCAGCGCAGGGTGAAGCAGCGGCTATGTGGAGGGCAGGGGCAGGGAAAAGCATCTGTGGCCCAGGCCATGCTGTCAAGCAGTTGAAGGTCAAAAAGGACGCTGCAGGACCACAGAATGGCCACCTCACAGTAGAGTACCATTGGATTTCTCTTCCCTCCTCCCTCAGAAGCCCCACTTCTTACTGAGCCTAGACTGAACCAACTTGGCTTTTTGATTTTCAGCTGGGCTGCCTAATTAACAGACAATCCTGCAGGACCCTGGATGTACCCTATGGAAAATAGCACCAAGTGAGGGGCAGGGGAAAGGGTGCTGAAACAGTCAGTAGGAAATACCGGCGCTGCTGAGCAAGAGCGTCAATGTTCCCCATGGAAATAAGGCCCCCCATGGAAATAGGGCCCCCATGAAAATAGGGACCCCATGGAAATAGGGCCCCCATGGAAATAGGGACCCCATGGAAATAGGGACCCCATGGAAATAGGGACCCTATGGAAATAGGGACCCCATGGAAATAGGGCCCCCATGGAAATAGGGCCCCCATGGAAATAGGGACCCCATGGAAATGGTGCTTATAACTACCATCTGTGGAGCTGTCGGGGAACAGAAGTGCTGCAAGCCCTCAGCGAACATCTGGCCCAAATAGGCACAGAACCTGAGGCCTGGGGCCTCAGCATAGCATGTTCCCAAAGACACACTGTCAGGTAATAAACAGACACTGGGTGTGGAGCCCGTCTCCCCAGATGTCAACATGCCCATCTTAAGCCGCCTTTAAGAGCCCTAGAGAGCAGTCTCAGGCTGAAGCTAGAATATAGGCGAGAAGAGCAACTGGAGCAACTTAAGTAGCTTCAGAATCCCAGAAGCAATGAACTCTTCTGCTTAAGTGTTGCTGAGCCCCTACTATGTGGTGCATTAAACACAGACTGTTTGCAAGTCTCACAAATTGACTCTCATTTTAAACAGGAGACTTAAAATCAGAGACATTAAAGAATGAGTCCAAATGATCACAGCTTGTGATAAGCAGAGTTGGTCTCAAACCACTTAGATCCGACTCCTGAGACCAAAGTCTTTTATCTTGAACAGGAGAGGACAGTCCCTCCCAAACAGATTCTCAGTTAGAGTCTATGCTGACCACTCTCCAGAAAGAGACGTGACCAACTACATCAGAAGCAGCAGGGCTATCACTGGGACACGGGGACAGGGGTACAACGCCAGGGCTATAGAATGCTCATGAGCCACTCACAGGATTCGGAGCCTGGGCAGCTGTTGGCACATTCCCGGTGGGAGCAGCCGGATGCCTGCTCGGGTCAGGGTCCTGCAGGGAGAACAGAGATAGAGCTGGCACCAGGCCCAGAGCCCTGCCATTCCCAGCCACCCATCTCTACCAATGGACCTGATACTGTCGTGGGAGGACAGAGCTGACAAAAGAGAAACGGGGGGTGAAGGGACGCATGGGAACAGGAAGTAGCAGGCTACCTCATCTGAGCACTAAGTTCTCCTGGCCTAGGGGAGCTGAGATAAGAGAGAAAGAGGGGATCAATCTATGGGCTCTGCTTATCCAATGCTCCCTACAGATCCAAAGCTACCCATGTATTTTCACCCCACCTCTCACAATGGTCCCAGAAACACTTAGGGCCTTAGGGTCTAAATGTTCCCTGGCCTTGGAGCCTTACAGGGGAGGGGCAGCCATGGCAATGAGTAGCTAGGAAACAGCTTCAGTGGGACCATGGGAACACAGTATACACTTTGCTCCCTGTGCCTGGGGGGAAGAGAAAGATAGAAAAAAGAGAAAGGCCCAAGGTTAGGGTGCAGAGGGTTGTGAGGGCAGATTGGAGACTGGGCTTGGATTAGGCACAGGGTAGCCTTAGAAAGACTCCAGGGCCAAGGTCATCCTTGGGAAACTGTTATTACTTTCATGGAAAAATTTCCACACGACACTGGGCTAGGAAGGAGACAATGGAGGCACAGAAGAGAGTGCCAGTCCCAGCAAAGCCATGAATGAGTTGTGCGGTGTGGGCAGGGAGTTGGCTTCCTAACATTTAAGTGCCTGCTTGGGTTTTTTATTTCATTTAATATGTTTGGGGGACCTACTATGTACTTATCTCAGGGTGCAGAGTATTTTCAGGGCCTGTTATATGCTTATCCCCATGACAGAGTATAGCACGGAGAAACTAAGAAAAAGGCTCTGTTGGACTCAAGCCTCTCAAAGTCAAAGGAAATGGGTTTCACAAGCCTGCTCCCGTCCTATGTCTTCAGGACACCATGGCTCAGGATCACGAGCTCTGAAACCAGAGCTCGCAAATCTAAGCACAAAAGAGGAATGCCAGCCTCCTCCCCACTTCCTGATGCCCCTGCCTTGCCTGGAGGCAGCACCACATCTGGAGATGGCCAAGGCCCTGGGGCTGAGCCAGTAGCAGAGGCAGACTACAGGATAGGGTGGCAGGAGGGGCATGTGGCCTGGAGAGCCTTCCAATATGAAGGGAGGTGGAGGAGTCCCCGGGGAAGGGAGAGGGAAGCCACTCACAGGATCTCCAGGCTAGTGGTGCCTTTGAGGTCTGGGAACTCCTGGATGTCAGTGGCACCATTCAAGGATCTGCAAACAGAGAAAACAGGCTCTGGAGGGTGGGTCAGGCATGTCAACATCTGTGCTCTCCGCCACAGCCTTCTGTTCCGGGGCCCTACCTTTTGTCATTTCCCTCAAGCCTCCTCCAAATTAGCCACTCTGTCCCCTGTTGGAAGTTGAGCCATGTTTAGCAGGATCCAATAATTTGTTTGTTGGTTTGGTTTTTGAGACAGGATCTCTCTTATATGTAGTTCTGACTGGCTGTCCTAGAACTCACTACACAGACCAAGCTGGATTCTAACTAACAGAGATCCACCTGCCCCTGCCTCTGCCTCCTGAGTTCTGGGATCAAAGGCATGATGGCATCACTATGCCCAGCTCCCAATCATTTTCTTAAACTAAGAAAGTGCCAAGATTGAGCCCAGCAACTCCAGCATTAAGGCCTTTGGCTTGTAAAAGGACAAAACCAAACCCAAACAAGGGATGTGTGAAATGTCCTAGGTTGTCACTGATTTGTTTTGAGATGCAGGTTCCTTTAACCCAGACTGGCTTCAAACTCATTATATAGCAGAAACTATCCTTGAACCCCTGATCCTACTGCCTTCACCTCTGGGACACTAAGATTATAAATATGTACCACCACTCCCGGCGGAACTGTGTATTCTGAAAGGCAAGTGTTGGGAGCAGTGTCACGTGCCTTTAATCTTAGCCCTTGGAAAGTAGAAGCTGGAGGATCAGGAATTGAAGGCTAGCCTTAGCCACATGAAAGCAAGCCTTGGCCACATGAAACCCTGTCACAAACAAACAAATAAACAAACAGTGTGTGAGAGACCCTGAGGGAAAAGAGTGCCACCCCAAAATGAGCCCATTAAGAGAAATGAAGGGCCTGGGTTCATGTACCTCAGGTTTCCTCTGTAAAATGGACCAAAGTACCTACCTCACAGGTTGGAATGAAGAGGAAGTGTGATCAGGAACATGAAAATGAAACCTGAGCCTGGAGGAGGTGAGCTGTGCACAGTGAAGTCACAGTACGATGCAAACAGTCCCTGGGAGCTTTTTTTTTTTTTTTTTTTTTTTTTGGATCCTTGGGCTTGGAATTAGAACAGTCAGGGGAGAAAACAAAGGCCTACCTTCAGGCAAAGTCTGAGAAAGATGGCATAGTGAGGGCCCCAAGAAGCTGTGCACAAGGCACTGGAGAAGCAGCCTGAAGGACACATAGAATTCAGAACTTTAGCCCTGTCCACTATTCTTCCTGTAGATGTATATGCAGCAAATACCACAAGCCAAATAAAACCAAAGTCCAAAGAGGTGCCCCTAGGTATGAAGAAGGGCTCTCTTCATCCACACAAGATACAGGAAGAAGCAACCATGTCATGAAGGTGGAGGGAGACCATTAAGCTCTGACAGAGCTGGGTATAGGTCTGAGAAAGCATAGGTCTAGAGAGCTGAAGGCCTCTCCTTCAGCACAGTAGTGCCTGGCCACTGAGGGGTCCACAGGCAGAGGGCAGGAGAGAGCAAGCAGGAGGGAACAGGGGAGAAGTCTGGACTGCAGCACCCAGCGGCAGCCTCTGGTGCTCACTTACAGCGTATGCAGTTTAGACAGGTACTGGAACGCCGACCTTCCCACAAACTGGATTGGGTTGTCATAAAAGTGTCTGGAAGAAAAAGACCCGAGCCCTAGTTCAGATGCTCACTGTTTTTTTCAGGTCCCTATGATTCTGGGCGGACACTCAACAGCTCTCCCACATTCCTGCCTTCTTGCCTTCTTGGCTCTTTCTAGCGGCCATCCCTTCTATTCACCCCCACAACCTCCATCCTCCAAAAACACACAGACCAGGAGCAGGAGCAGTACTCACATTGTCTGCAGAAGAGGGTTGCCCATGAAGGCCTTCTCTGGGATAGCCTTGATGTTGTTGTTGTGGAAACCCCTGGAAGACAGCACCCAGGAATGGTGAGGATTTGAAGAGAGGTGAGGAGAGGAAGGGCATGTAGCTCTTAGAGCTTTCTGACAGCTGACTAGACGGGTCCTGAAATCAAAAGAACCTCAGCCTTCAATCCTGCCTGTGCATTTTTGTCTGTTCAACAACATATTCAGCCTTTCCTGGTGTGTGGGTATCTGGGTGGGTACACACGTACTTATTAAGAGAAAAGCAGGACAGTTTCCAGGGGTTGGGCTTCAGAAAGCCTGTAAGAATAACTCCAGAGTGAATAGCTGAGTCCAGGTCTTAAGGAAGGAATCCACTCTTTGGTCATTTGTGTGAAGAGCCATAGTTGGCCCCCAAAATGGAAGCCATGGGTGTATGGAAGGAAAAGGTGGGTACAGAAAGGAAAGCACTCCCAGGGGATCCTGGGTAAGGGAGGCTGCTCCTGAAGTGAAGAAACATAGAAGCAACAGAGGGGATAAAGGGCAGAGTCAGGTGTTCCATGACCATAGGTTGCATCTATGGGTGGTGAGCAATGAAGTACCCCACTGAGTGTCTGGGGTCAGGAAGCCACGGACAATGTGTTTGTGCTGCTGGGAAGTTTGTGCTGGGCTGAAAAATCACACAGCCCAGTCTCAGCAGGGCTCTCAGCACCCCCTCCAACAGCAAGTCTCTGGCTTCATGTGCCCTAGTATCTGTGCACTTCTCTCCATGTCCTGTCGTCCCATGATTCCTTTCACTTCCGCTCAATATCTGTTCACCCACAGATATCTCTGGCCAACGCTACCCACCAAAGCTTGTTTGGCACTTTCTTCATTCCTTCTAGCCATCATGTTTGTTTGAGGAGCTCTTTTTGGATCTTGGGCTACATCAAGTTCTCAGAGGTTGAGAGACTTCAATGATAGAAGCCCTGTCCTCAAGCAGCTTTTTCTCAGTAGATGATGGGTGGTGGGTGGATGGGTGGATGGGTGGATGGGTGGATGGAAGGATACCTAAATGTGTATCCTTTTCCTCCAGAAAAATTCATGAACCTCCATGTCTTCTTAATTGGATTCTAGTCTTGCTGTATATTAAATCTCTGTATACCCCTATCAAGGCTGGTGTTCCTTTTCTGGTCATCCTCTACGTTAGCCACTTCCTGTCAGGTCTATGTTCATACTGTTCCACTGACTAAAACATCTGTCCTCTTCTACCATCATTGTTACCCAAATCTCATTCATCCTTTGGGACCAGGCTCAGGAGACCTTAGTCCATGGTAAGCTGTCACTCTGAATTCCTGTGGCTATTTTAGCCAATATACGATATCACAATGTAAGGCTGGATTTATGTCGCTTTGTCTTGTTCCTGTTTCACAAATGTTCCTTTGTGTTGTGGATGAGGTAAAGGATCCTTTTTTAGAGGATGTCATGTCTGCCTTGCCCGTGGTTTGTATTAACACTAAGCACAGCACCCAAGCTAGTGAATATTCAAATAGGATAATACATGGCTGGAAGTGATGCGCTCAGCAGGCAACCTGACGTCAATACCTGGAACCTACATAAACACAGGAGAAACGAGCTCCATAAAGTTGTTCTCCGACCTCCACATATGTGCTGGGCATGTGCATTCCCGCACCAACACAGGCATAATGAACACATGCACACACCGATCACATAATAAATGGCCATGGGGCTCCATGGATGATTTCTCAAACCATTTAGGGCTGCTACTAAAGAGTGGGCCTATAAAACAGCCTCCAGTTCTTCTCATTCTTCTTTAGACAGACAGCACAATGCCAAGCCTAGGCTGCAAGAGGTGGTTTCTTCCATGTATGTTCCCAGGCTTGATGGGCCCAGAACCATTTACAATGATGATACACCCCCCAGAAGTGTTCAAAGCCAAGCTACCAAGTGCTCTGACTACTGATGCTCTGGGGGTATGGAGTGTTTCCAACCACAGCTTTTACAAGGATCAGTCACAAGGACTATGGGAGGTGATTTGTTGAATGAGCTGGCCTCTGCCCCTGGGAGAAGAACCCGAAGACACCAGCAGAAGATCTTACAGTTCCTGCAGCCTGCCCAGGGTCCGGATGGCCACGGGGAACTCCTGCAGCTCATTATAGTTCAGGTCTCTGGAATGAAAAGCAGAGCAGTCATTAGCTCAGAGCTTAACGGGGCGTGTCAGGGTCCCCGAGACATGGAAACTTGGCTGTAGGGTTGGCCCAGGAGATGGGTTTTCCAATCTGTTGGATCCAGCTGCCAAGATCTGAAAACACATTTTCTGAATGTTTGGACTCCATTCCTACTCCACAAATCCTCGGGCTTGGAGCTTTCCTGGCAGCAGAACTGTTTTGAATGGGAATTTATTTTAGGGGTGTACATATCTGGATCTACCTCAGAATAATCTCTACAAAGCTCAGTAAAGTCTATTTTGGGTCTTTGGATTCATGGGATGGAAGAAGAGAGATAGAGAAGTGATCTTTAATGTGTTACTAGCTCTAGTAATTCCAGAAAGTTCTTCAGATTACAGCTACATTAGCTACAGCCTGTGCGGTTTTGTTGTTGAGACAAAATCTCCCTGCGTATCTCAGGTGTCCTTGAGTTTTTGATCCTCAGCCCTAGACTCCCAAGTGTTGGGGTTAGGGTTGTGTGTCAATACACTGGGTTGACTTTTTCCTTTGGATGGGATGGTGGCATGGGACTTACTCTTTACTTTCTCTGTGTTTTCCATTTTTCTTATTGAATGCATAATCAGAAAAGAGTGAAAGACAGTTTTTAGAGGAGCAGTAAGCCAAATTGGCCAGAAGGAGAGAAAGCAAGCTTTCTAATAAACTAAATGTGAACAACTTTTTAACAGTTTATTGGTTTTTTTCAAATTGAAATTTATATACTCAGCTCTCTTATGTCCGTTCTCCTACAGAAAAGTCCATACCTGTGTGTGAGATATTTGTATAACGATATCCATAATAGCATTCTCTTAGGCAAAGAAGTCAATACTGACTGATCGGTAAGCGGTCGAGGCTTCATCTTTCCCACTCCTTCAAGGGACATTCTGGTTTGTGCCTTTAGGCCACAGTGACAAGGTAAAGGGAGGAGAGCTGGGGCAGGCTGACGGCTAATTTTATTTTCATCAGAAAATACTCCCAACTGCTCTTGACAAGTAGACAAAGGCAGGTGTCACCTGCAAAAAGAGGGGGTGCTTGAGAGGAGCAGCGAAAAGGGGTGACTATCTCCTTGCCAGCTTGTGTGGCCATCCGCTTTACAATGCTCTTCATTGCTTCCTGGGAAGAGGCTTACGGGACTTTCACAAAGATATTCCTCCTTGTGGGAGAGGATTCCCTCTCTGTCGGGGCTGCAACCAACTTCAGCAGAGACAGCAACTTTCAAAACATTAACTTCCGTTTTCGTACTCAGTAGCCAACAAATTAGCCTACATATAATGTGCTGACGTGTTGGTGGGGAGTTCTTAATGTCTCTAAAATCCTGTTTGTGGGGTACACAGTCCCCATCTTTGGAAGTATATGGTGGTGTCAGTTCCAGGGATGTCTCTTGACCCTTGCAGGCAGGCTCCTAACTCCATCTTTTCAGCCTTTTAGTCCAAGGCCACAGAGGGGGACTATGTGGAGGTCTTTTAATTGCAAAGTAGCTTGGCAGAGTTTTGTGGATAATACCATGTCAACATAGAGATAATGACAGGCTCTTCTGCACAGAGGGTCATTACGCTTAATAGGCCACAGGTAGAGCCAGGAGCTCAGTCTAGGAGGCCAGAGGAGCAGTGACAAGTGTCTGGCAGTCAGTGAGCTAGATAATTGTCCCCCTCTGTACACATACTAATTACCCATTACCCTCAGACTGCCCTGTCGATCTTGGGTGATTATACCAGAAAACGCTTTCTGCTCTGCTCCATCCTTTAGTAAGTCTGACACTTTGCTCAGAGAAGCCTTTTCTGAGCAACGTAATTCAAACAACACAGTCACTCATTCTGGCTTTGTACTACATTACAACTCACCTCTAACCCTTCCCAGTTTCTCTTATCACAATGTGGCATCGCATAATTGGTTCATCGTCACATCTCAGTGTTTCAAAACCAAGTGTCCCCTTTTAACATGGTTCAGTTCCTTTAGGAATTTTTGATTCTTGCCCATAGAAAATTACATTTTTTATAAGGAACAAAGACACATCACTCCGAAGACTTCCCTGGCATTGTCAATGGCAGTGACCAAAACAAGAGAGAAATAATACAGCGTGACCTGGTCCTAGGTTATAAGAGCCTGGTAGCCTTTGCCTTCACAACCTAGGAATCCTCACAGTACCATGTAAGGAAGCTAAACTGTCACGAGCTGCGAACTACGTGGATGCACTGACAGCCAGCGGTGAGGCTTCCGATTAGTGAGCGAGGCTGTGGGAGACCCTTTTGCCCTCTCTGAGTCTCCAGTGACGACAGCCTCCTGAATGAGCCCAGGGATCCAAGCCAAACCATGAACTCATGAGGAATAATAAGGTGTTATTTTAGGTCGCTACATTTTGGAATGATTTTTATGACAGAAGAGACTTCCTGCTTTCTTTGCCTTCGTGGAACTTATTGGCACATGACATTTATTTTCTTCCTACCCAACCAGAACAAAAGCTCCTTAAATGCAAGAATTCTGTCTGTTTCAAATTTTAAACACCAGAACAATATCTGACACAGAGCAGGACCTCAACAAGTATGCGTTGAATGAGTAATTGAAAAGCTCTAAACAAGCGTATTATTTTTTAAAAAAAATCAATGAATTCATCAGAATTCAGGGTATTTAGAGGCATATGCTTGACATTTTCTAGGTGGATGTCAAAATGACACAAGCTAGTCTGGAGTGACAATGTTAGGGTTACCCTGAGCCACATGGGGTGTGTCCCGGGTGGCTTTGCTCTCATGGAGCACTTACATAGTTCTTTGGACCCACCTCCAGGCTGCCAAGTTGAGTGGTTCCAGTTCTCCTTGGCAGTTTTTGGTCAGGAACTTTGCCAGGAGTAGACAGACAGTGGGAAAAGACATGTGGGAAAAGGCATGTGAACTAGAAGGCTATTTTTATAGAGAAATGTGGGAGAAGAAAAATTGTACAAATGTCCAAAAGAATTCTGCAGACTCCATACCAGTGAGATGGCCACATCTGGATGTCTACATAGGTTTAGTGAAGTTGGCAAACTCTAGCTTTGTTTGCTGCCATGTGGATGGAGTCTAGGTGTTCAGGAACCATGTCCTTGCAACTCTGTCTGCACCCGATGAACTCAACTCAACGCAACAGACACATGTTGCTAAATGTCCCAAAAAACATGAAGAACTCTGCTGGGCAGAGTGGAAGACAGCAAGATGAGCTCCCTCAGTCTGCTGCTGCAGGTCCTGGAGAGTACACAAAGCCCCAGGACTGCCGTACACCTGGAGGGACCACACCTGGAGAGACCACATCTGGAGGACTTTATGGGAACCGGACATCTGAACTAGGCTTTAATTCAGAGGAGATAAATATTTTGGAGAGAATTAAGTGGGTTAGCTCAACTGAAGCAAATAGATGTATTTAGATGGGAGGGAAGCTCTTCCTCGTGAACTGTCACATACTGCGCCTGCCTGCAGGCCATGGATAGATGGACCGACACTGGCCGAACACTCACTGTGGTGCTTCAGATGAATGATCTCCACCCTCCAACAAGAGGGGAATCTCTTCCTAAACACATTTTTCAACTGGGGGAACCAAGAAAACACACCCGTCACTCAACCATCAGTATCTAACAAGTGACTGGCAGAAATCACTGCCTATTTGCCCACATCTCTCCTCCCTTTGCTCAATAACCACACTTTCCAGCACCAGAGCCACTAGCCACGTGTAGCTACTTAATTATCAAGAAACAGCATTTTCAGATAGCTTCTGATACTTCCACCATCCCCAACACATCCTGATCTGATTCTAGAGTCCCTCAGTTCATCAGAAACAGGGAAAAATAAAATAAAAAGGTCCCCACACCTCTAAGAGCCAGTTCAGAATCTCATGGTTGTGTCAGACCAGGATCAATGATAAGAGCTCAAGGGGTGGACATGTTCCCTCAGACTCAGGGCCCGCCCACTTGAAGCGAAAGTTATGCAGACACAGGGTATGATGGAGCATGACTGTAATCCTAGCACTTGGGAGGTTGAGGCAGAAGGACTGAAACAAGTTTGGGGACAGTCTGAGCTATACATACAGGCCAGCCTGGATATATAGGAGCCTTTGTCTCAAAAGAAAACACACACACACACACACACACACACACACACACACACACACACAAATACATGAAGAATGTTTTTATAAGGGGGGGGGGAGCTAATGAGGTGGCTCAGTAAGTAAAGAAACTTGCTACCAAACCTAAAAAACTGAGTCTGAGCTCCAGGACCCACACAGTGAAAGGAGAAGACTCCCACAGGTTATCCTCCAACCTAACACACACACACACACACACACACACACACACACACACACACACAACACACAGCAATAAATAAAAATTTAAATCTAAAAAAAAAATAACCCACAGCATTTTAATCTCAGTCTCAGTACCCACATTTCAAGTGTTGTAGTAAAAACTCAGATACAGATCATTCCTACCACTGCTGTAAATGCTATCAGATGGCCAAACAGAAGGAACAGCTAAAAATATAGACAGAGTTTATTTCCCAGCCTCTTTTGCAATGGTAGCTACATGACCATACTCTCCCCCAAGAAGGTAGGTAGAAATTGTATCTGCTGTTTCTATCCATGACTTGAATAAAATAGCTGGCTTCTCCCCCTCCACCATCTGTCTACCTTTACACCAGCTAAATGCTCCAGGGATGGCAAGAACTCAGGTTTCTGAGTCACCATATGGAGGAAATGTCACATGCCAAAAAGAAATATCCTCCTGGGACTGCTACATAATCTAAACAAACAAACAAACAAACACCAACCTTTCTACTGTGGGTGAGTCATTACACACATCTTGGTCTATTTGTTAAAGTAACTTAGCCTATCTTAACGAATTCAATATCACAGCCAGGATTTGAACCCTGGTGGTTAGAGACTGGAGTCTGCAGTCCTAACTACCACACATCTGCCAGAAGGAACTTTTTTAAAATGCAAAG